TAATGGAATGACAATCTGATTGGTTCAAATTTTACATTTACATGTATAGATAAAGCCAATGAAGGAATATAATCGTTTGTTTATCCCCTTGTCAGGTCAATACAGCATTTTTAGTAAGCCATAAAGGAGAGAGAGAGAGAGAGAGAGAGAGAGAGAGAGAGGTTTAACCTCCACTTGACACGAACTAGGTCATTTTGGGACTAATACATGGTTCAATTTTATTTCAATAATTCGCTTGTGCATAGGGGTCTTAAGCAGTGGGAGGAAATCAGAGGATCCGGAGAAAACCCACGAGGTTGGACAGGCGACCCTACTCCTTGTCACGTACAACCGGGGAATCCAAACCCTGCCAGTTGACTCAATGACAGACCGTATGATGCAGTGCGTGCATGCTAACCATTCGGCCATCCAACCCCCCGAGAGAGTTTAACGTTCATTCAATACACAAAAGGTCATTGTGAGCACAGAGGGTTTTAACAGTGGGAGGAAACCGGAGGACCCGCAGAAAACTCATGAGGGACGGATTTAACGTCCACACTCAACACAAACTAGGTCATTTTAGGACTAACATATGGTTCAATTTTATTTCATTAAATTGCTTGCACATAGAGTTTTAGCTGTGGAAGGAAATCAGGGGATCCGAAGAGTTTGGACAGGCTATATATAAGTAGGAAACCCTTAGTAGCACCCAAGATATAAAAAAAAACAACAATTACAAAAAAATCTGTCTTCCGCTTAAACATACATTATGCAAGAGCTAAATCTGTCATTTGCAGGTCTTTCTTTTTTAGCCTGAAATGTTATCTAAATTATTAATTAGACATTAATTAACTTATTTAGACCACAAATAGCCTGCCATATTTACTGGATTATGATCCCATTTGCTGCTCGACTTCCATTCATAATTTAATCATGAAATGGATGATCGAGACTATTTTTTTTATCGTACAGACTTTAGTACCGTAATGATGATCGAGGTTAGGCTGAAATTTCAATCGCTTAATTCTCGGTTCATAGTGGATCAATTTGACTGAAATTTTTAGCAAATTCCCTTTATATTATCTAGTTTTTAACTATTATATTGAGAACTGACAGCTCTTTATCCTATCTCCCATAATGTATCTTTAATCTTTCAAAAAAATTCCATTGTCCCATCTCTAATCAAAATAACACTTTATTGTCAACTTAATCAGCTCAAATGAAATGAAATGGGGTTTAACGTCCTACTGTTCTGCTCCTATACTGGGCTAATGATGACGGGCATACGCTATACAGTGTGCTATGAGGGAAATTTTGCCCAGAAAGCGGCACTATGGCCTACTCTTACATCGAATTCAAACTGCAAAGGGATCTTTTACGTGAAAGCCATACAGTGTGCTATGAGGGAAATTTTGCCCGGGCAGCGGCACTATCGCCTACTCTTATATCGAATTCCAACTGCCAAGGGATCTTTTACGTGCATTCCAATGTATACATGGGACCTCGGTTTTTCGTATCATCCGAAGGACTAGACAGCTGTCCTTGTCAGGCCCTCCGTCCTGCATCACTGACAAGAGGGAACCACGCCGGAAAATCTGGATGTACTTTCTTGGCCAATGCAGGGATCGAACACCCGACCTCCAGGATAGCGAGCCAGCATCTTACCCACTTAGCCACGTGATCCCCTAATCAGATCAACTCAAATACTTTACGTCTACATTGACCTAAATTAGACCATTGGAATGACTGTAAAATTCTCAAATAGATTTAATCAATTGATCTATTACCCCAGATTTGTTTGCTTTAATCTTAAAAATTACCTGTTAGCTGAAGAAAACTTTTCAGGTTTTGTTTTTATTCAACGCACAAAAGGAACGGAAGACCAATCTGTTTACTTGAATAAATTTAAAAGAAACTGTGGCTTCAAAACATTCAAACACAAAAGTCTATCAGATTTTAGATAGGGCTATTTGTACTATTCATGGATAGAAATACATTATATTTCATTCATGTCTTAAAAGATACATCATGTATGATTTAGATAAAGAGCTGCCCGTTCTTGCTATAATAGTTCAAAAATAGATTATTTAAAGTGAATATATATATGGAAATTTTCATTCAAATTACTTTATTCTGAGCAAAGTTATCAATGTTTGTAGTTTTGACAAGATGTGTGTATTGATTGTGCATTATTGTAACCACGATACTGGTATATTCAAGGCTTAGCCTCCTCTCCCCATCTTTAAATTAAATGGCCGAACCGTTCTAATCTAGGTCATTTCGGGACGACCATATTGTTCAATTTTATTTCATTAATTCACTTGCGTGTAGGGGTCTTTAGCAGTGGGAGTAAACACATACAGTATGAGGGTTAAGCTAATTATTCAATGGAATGGCAAGTACATTTAAGATACATGTATCTCAGCGACCCTACTCCTTGTCACATACAAGCGAGAAATCGAAAACATGGCATGCGTTAACAGGGCTGGCCACGAATAAATTGATGGCGAGCAGATGACTGCTCACGCAAATTTAGGCTTGGGCGAGCAAGGCGAGCAATAAAAATTGCTCACGCAAAATGTTGTTTCCGTGAGCACACATTTTGTAACATTGTTTCAATTTAAAATCATATGAAATTGCTATTCCTGGCTTTGCAGTAAACATGTGTGACCATCGCTTTCTGTTTTTGACAGTCATAGTCATACGACTCTTCTTTAAAACCAATCACCGTATGGATTTCTTCACCCCACGACATAAATGTGGATACATCAATGTAGATAGGGCAATCGGGTTTCCTTTGGCCATTATTACGCTTAGATTTAAAATTATACGACTGCACAATGGAATAAAAACCGAAGTTCTGATAAAATATGAAATACCGATAAATATTAGTTTGAAACGTGTTTATTTAGCGTGAATGCCAAATGCCGGATGTAACCATTCTTTACTTTAGACTCGATTATCACGCGTTTGTTACTGGTGTTCGTGGGAAAACCAGTCATGATGTTCAGGTCTCAAGTGTATTTTTAGTAACACGAGTGGTGAGCAACTTCATTAGCCAATCAAATTTAAGGAGGAAATGCCGCGTGCAGCTGGGTGAATCTCAGTTTGACAGACGAATTTATGACGTTATTGACACTGTCGGGTTAGTTTCGGCAATAAACTTATCAATATTTTGATTATTTTTACAGGTTTTTCTTAAAATTTTACGCGAGCAACGAACCGCTCGCGTAAATGTAGATTTACGCGAGCGCGAGCAACTGCTCGCGTCTCGTGGCAAGCCCTGCGTTAACCATTCGGCCACCCATCCCACCATTATAATAAACTGCTCGCGTCTCGTGGCAAGCCCTGCGTTAACCATTCGGCCACCCATCCCACCATTATAATAAAAGGGTTAAGCTAATTATTCAATTGACTGACAAGTACATAAAGATATCTCATCCCAGTAACTGAGCGACAAAATGAAATAAAATCCATGACGATGTTAGTAACTTGTGTTTCCTGTTAACACTAATAAATACATGTGTACACACTGAATACAACTAGGGTTGGGTAATATCGTTATTTCACCTGCCATGTTAAAACATCAAGAGAAGTTAAAAGTGGTGGTGTGAACCCATTAATTTGATATGACACATACATGTAGTTTACAAAGTGATCATATATACCGGTTCCTGTGGATGACATTCCACTGTTTCGCAAAGAGGAATAATTGATGTACATATACATGCATATGTATCTCCTTTTTTAAAATTCATTTGAATTCAATCTATAACAAGTTTATTTAAATTCTACTAAATGTGGTGGTCTGAACCCATTTATTTTTAGAGTTGTTGAAATGACACTTTAAAAAACTGATATACATCATATACATGTAGATGGCCACCGTTTTGAAAAGAGATAGAATATTACACTGTAACCCAGATATCATTTAATCTTGTGTATCTAGCACTAATTTCTTTTACATTGTTTAATATCAAATCTTTGTTTAAAAATTTGTAACAATGTAGATGACCACCGTTTTAAAAAGAGATAGAATAATACACTGTATCTCCTTTTTTAAAATTCATTTCAATTACATCTAGCTACAAGTTTACTTACTCAATTTTTAAAATTCCAAGTGTATGTCCTGCGAATAGGTTCCATAGTGGCCAAGAAGGATGTATTTTTACAACGGTACACCCACAATCACATGTGTATTCAAAATGACACCATTTCAAAGTATGATATTTGATATTTCTTATAAACACAGTAAACAAGCATGAATTATATATCATGCAGTTTTCAGTTTTGGTTAATTCAAGAATACGATTATGTAAATCATTTTCTTAATCACAATCAACCGATTTCATTTCTGTTTAGAAAGGAAAATATTATATGAAATGTACTGTGCAGCTGCCAGATAATTTTTATCAGATATTTTGGACAGAGGAATTTAGAGTCATGGATTTTTATCAAAATATACAATATGTGGCGATCATGTAACATGTTTGATCCATCTCCCTTTTCTATTTCCATCACTTTTATATTCCATCACTTTTACAATTAACCCCCCAAAAAACAGATCCCCCTTTTTGTATTAACCCTCACAAAATTGTTAGGGTTAGGGTCAGGTATAAGATTAAAACCTAGTGGTGAAATATTGAGACACAAAAATGGGAGTCACATGAAACATGAATGCCCAATATTTATGAACACTACCATAGTCTAATTTAATTGCTCTTTTCAAACTATTTATTTATTTTTGCCCTGTTTTGGAGTAGGCTGCATGTAAACCAAATTTGCCTATTCAAATACTCAAATCAATATGGGCAGTATATAATTTCCGTATTTCCTTATAAAATTATTTAGCTTATTAAATTCTATTTTTTGTATAACAAATATGACGATTTCAACAATATCAGAAATTGACAATATTGTCCTGAAATTAAAAATCTATTTGCTGTTATGTGTTATGTAATAAATATGACGATTTCGTCAATTTCAGGCTAGTTATGAAAATAATTTTCCAAATCACCCACCATCAGTCTTTGCTTTTTCACTCAACACAAAGGAACATCACTATCCAATGAGAGATACTGTCATCTGTCACTGACAATGTAATTGCATTCCCAACGAGACAACTGTTGAATGGTTCAAACTCACGCAATGCAATCAAATGAAAAGCACGCGCACCACTCCAACAAATCGAAATTCTATCGATACGCGTTGACACAGACGATGTACTTTTTCCGACTTGGTATCCAATTAAACACCTAATTTTATCTATTAAAATAAAAAATATATGCACCCTACCTTATTTCCCGCGTGGTTACTCATGCAGTTTCCTGAATCCGGTTTGAATATTTATTATTCTTTTAAAGGCGAGGGCAGCCTTCTTAACTTCAATGGATGTCATGTCCCAATTCCTTGAAGGCGAAGGTCACTTGATCTTTATTGACATTATCTGCAGCAAATAAAATTATTATCTTATTTACTAAAAATATTGCCATGCAGCAGAATTACAAAGCTGATTTCAGATATTGAATCCATGTGATTTCAAATTAGAATATCCCTTGAAATAATTTATCATATTGAACATAAATGTTATGGTGCGGACCAACCGGAAAGTGGCTTCCATGTTTATGAAGTTTACGTAAAGGTCGTTTTCTGTTACTTAACAAGAAAATGGCCAGCTTGAAGCGCATAAGTCCAAGTTTCTTGGCAAACATAGGTAAATTTCCATTTGTGTTCAAATGCGTTTCACAGTCCTTTAATTTTTCCTCGCGAAATTTTGTCTGCCTCATTCAAATCGTCTTCACTTTCAGAAATTGATCATGCCGAATTTTTGGAATGTCAATGAATAAAATCAATGTGCAGACTTGCTAAATTTGTATGGTTTGTTGACATTCTGATTACCCCCTTTCTACAGACATGATCTGTGCAATGACAATAAAGAAAATGTTGACTTGTAGCTACTTTATATGATGTGTTTCATTTCTTTCTTGCGGGTTGAGTTGCCAGTTATTGAAGTTATTCAAATTAATTCCGAAATTGGTTTTCTAATTTCTGAGATGTCTCGGCATTTGAGAATAAATAAAAGATATTATGAATGTGATAATTCAACACCATTTTTTCCAGAATTGTTAATGGCTTTAAGTCTTTAATTGTCAATTGAGCAATTTTTAATCTCTTACGTGTACAAATGAAATGAAATGGGGTTAAATTAACTAACGTCTGTTCTGCTCCGACTGGGCTTATATAATAAAGACGGGCATAAGCCATGCACAGTGTGCAATGAGAAAAATTTTGCCCAGACAGCGGCACTACAGCCTACTCTTATTTCGAATTCCAACTGTCAGGGGTTCTTTTTACGCGCACGCCAATGTGTACACAGGACCTCGTTTTTTTTGGTTTTTTTGTCCCATCTGGACAACTATACTATGTCTCTTGCCAGGCCCTACACCAGTACCACTGAGAAGTGGGAACCAAGCCGGAAAATCCTGATAAACTTTCTCGGCCAACGTAGGGATGAACACATGATCTCCCGATTAGTGAGCTAACATCCTACTCACTGAGCCAGCGTGACCCCTCCTGCAAACAACAATATTGTGAAAGTTGAATCTCTTAACGTGAATTTCAGTCCAAAAATGGCTCGATTTTGTTCTTTATTTTGCGGACGATATAGATGGGATGTGGTCAGAACATGGCAGCCCCACCGACATTCTTTTCTGCTAAATCTTTTGACAGACCTGTTTTTAATCCAATTGAATCCAAACAGGTGGCTTATCTACTGTGCCGGAAAAATTAGATATTGTCAAAAAAGATACAAATAGCAATCTGTTTTCTATATAAGCCTAAACTAACTACATGTATCTTCACTTGGTGGGGGTGGGTGGCCAAATAGTTAACACGTGTGCATTGAATCAGAAGTGGCATGGTTTTGATTCCCCGCATGTACGTGATGAGTAGGTCGCCTGTCTAACCATGTGGGTTTTCTCCAGGTCCTCCGGTTTCTTCCCACTGCTAAAGACACCTACTCGCAGACAAATTATTGAAATGAAATTGAACCATGTGTTAATCCCAAAATGACCTAGTTTGTGTCGATTGGATGTTAAACCCCATTTCTCTCTCATTTTTTACATTAAACATTTTATGCTTTTTTTTTGTAGCTAAATGTCAGAAGAATGTTGCTCCACTGACAGTAGCAATTAGATCCAACACCACACAGGCGGCTGCTTCAAAAGAAAAAGTAATATTTGAATCTAAAGATTTCTTAGAGAACACATTATAACTGCATCAAAATCCTTTCCAAATATATTTAGAATAAATGTGTATTCTCTTCTCGTTTCAAAGTCAAATTGTTTAAAACCGGATTAATAAGTTGATTTAAAACATTTAAAAATTATGTGGCTCCCCATTTTGGAAATCCTGCCTATACCATTGCTTGGGTTGGTTGTTCATAGTTATTTGTACTAGATTGTAACATGCTTAAGTGTGAATCTTGCATTTTGATTGGTCAATTAGAAACTGTTGATAGGACAATAACACCTCTCTGTTTCAGTAATTTCTTTTAAAATGCTAAAATAGCATGTTACAATGTCGATAAACACTTCCTGTTTCTCATTTAGAGGGGTGTTATTGTCCAATAGACATGTCCTGAGATTTTACATGCTCTAATGTAAAATCTCTCAGGACATGTCTATTGGACAATAACACCCCTCTAAATGCGAAACAGGAAGTGTTTATCTACTAAATGAAAGAAGATTGAGTATTCCCTATTTCTCAGGACATGTTGTCAGTTTGAATTAATGTCTCACAAACAATTATTGTCTTACTTTTCACATTTTTAATAATTATTTTCTTTCGTTTCAGACCAAATATGGTCCAATGAATGATGAAGATAGAATGTTTTTAAATTTATATGGTCGCCATGACTGGAAATTGAAAGGATCAATGGCTTTGGTAAGATATATTTGTAATACATGGTCATTGAAAGTTTCTGGAACATTGTCTTAAACATACATTATGCAAGAGATAAATGTGCCTATTGCAGGTCTTTCTTTAGGCCTGAAATGTTATCTAAATTATTAATTTGACATTAATTAACTTATCCAGACCATAATCAACGCTCAATGTTATCGCTAGCCTGCGATATTCATTGGATTAGGATTCGATTTGCTGCTCAACTTTTATTCATGAAATGGGAGACTATGTTTTTTATTGTACCGACTTTAGTAATGATGATTAAGGCCGAAAATTCAATCTCTTAATTCTCAGTTCAGAGTTGATCAATTTGACTGAAATTTTCAGCAAATTCCCTTTACATTATCTAGTTTTTAACTCTTATAGTGAGAACTGTCATCTCTTTATCTAATCTTCCATAATGTATCTTTAAGATTTTTTTGATTAAATTTTCACTTTTTCAAGAGAATAAGTGCAAATGCCATTTCCAATTCACGCACTTATAAATGTTTTAGAGCAGGAATTTACAGTGTATGTTTATAACCATGATTGATTTTTGTGAACATTTTAATTTGAAAATTTCAGGGAAACTGGTATAAAACTAAAGAGATATTATTGAAAGGACCTGAATGGATTTTAAAAGAAATATCTACTTCAGGTTTAAGAGGTCGAGGTGGTGCTGGTTTTCCTACTGGCATGAAATGGGGATTTATGAACAAACCCTCTGATGGAAGGTCAGTCAGTCTTTTTACATGACATTTACATTTAATAAATTTAATTATTGGGGTTTTTTTGTGCGTTGTATCATAAGGTCTGTCATTGAGTGAACTGGCGTGGTTTCAATTCCCTGGTTGTTGTATGTGACAAGGAGTAGGGTCGCCTGTCCAACCTTGTGGGTTTTCTCCGGGTCCTCTGGTTTCCTCCCACTACTAAAGACCCCTACGCGCAAGCAAATTATTGAAATAAAATTGAAGTATATGTTAGTCCTGAAAAGACCTAGTTTGTGTCGAGTTTATGTTACCCCCCCCCCCCTCTTTCTCTCTCACACTGAAGAGTGCATATATACGATCCAATTAATTAGTAGTGAATACTGATTATATATTTCAGACCCAAGTATTTAGTAGTAAATGCTGATGAAGGTGAACCTGGTACATGTAAAGATCGAGAGATTATGAGACATGATCCTCACATGTTAGTTGAAGGTTGTCTAGTAGCTGGTAGAGCTATGGGAGCTAGAGCTGGTAGGTCTTGTTCAAACTTTTAATTTCTATTATTGCTTCCTGGAAAATTGTTGGTTCTCTATCAAATAAGGGAGGTTGGATCTTGGATGGCCGAATGGTTAGCACGTGCGCACTGTATCATAAGGTCTGTCATTGAGTCAACTGGTGTGGTTTCGATTCCCCGGTTGTACGTGATAAGGTGGGTTTTCTCCGGGTCATCCGGTTTCCTTCCACTGTTAAAGACCCCTACGCGCAAGTGAATTATTGAAATAAAATTGAACCATATGTTAGTCCCGAAATGACCTAGTTTGTGTCAAGTGGACCTTAAACCCCATCTCCCCCCCTCTCTCTCTCCCTCTCTCTCTCTCTCTCTCTCTCTCTCTCTTTCAAATATTGTTTGGCGATGTTTACAATTTTTGTGCATTAAAATGTGGGTTTATAGGAAACTTAAGCCACTCGGTTTGAGACCACCAGCTAAGTCACAATTTCTTGTGAACACTCTACACATTACATTTATCATCCAATATTTTTGAAATATATATGTATGTGTTGTTTACATTAATAAGTTATGGCCCTTTGTTTCACTTTGTAGAAGCTTGTGAGCCCTGTAATGACAAAAGTTATCATCTTATCTGTATGAAATTAATGTGCTTTATTTATCTTAGTAAAACGAAGAAGACTATCGAATTTTAACAATTTTCAAGAAAGATTTCCCCAAATGCAGAAAAGTAGAAGTTTTTAATTTTAATTTGAATCTATTGATCATTTCAGCTTATATTTATATTCGAGGCGAGTTTTACAATGAGGCCTCTAATCTTCAGATAGCAATAAATGAAGTAAGTCTTCTAATATTCTCGTCATTTTGTGTGTTGTAATCACGACCATTCGACGTCTGGCCACGATTTCTTGTCACCATGTTACAGATTTTCAAACATGCAGCAATATTTCATTGTGTCAGAATGAAGACGTCTATCAAAATGTTGTGAACGGAAACTAGATCCAAAGAAACTAAGAACATTTTAAGCAATTAAAGTAAGATTGATGCCATAACATGGACCAAAGATCCTTATGGTTGGGAAGGATAGTCCTTTGTTTGACAAATAAATAAGAGAATAAGCCGTTGAAGACTGGATTTCAAAATAGTAACAATACCATATCATATAGTTGAATCTGTTAACCATGCATGTGCATTCCGAAATGACCTGACTTGAGCAAAAGTTGAAGGCCTTTCTCTTACAGAACATGTTAACTGAACAGCCATTACATACTACATACTTTTAAAAGGCCCTAGTGGAGCTAAAAATAACCCCTCCTTTTCTAAAGAAGTTTTTTTCTCAATTAATTTCAACCAATTTGATTTGTTTTGATTTGAGAAAGTTTATATAAGTATTATTTTATAGGCATATAAAGCTGGTCTAATTGGTAGTAATGCATGTGGATCTGGTTTTGATTTTGATGTTTATGTACATCGTGGTGCTGGAGCTTATATATGTGGAGAAGAAACAGTAAGTCTGTCCATAATTGAACTTATTTTTTTTCAGATATTCAATATATACCTATATTTCTCCATGTTATACCGGTTGTACATGACAAGGAGTAGGATCGCCTGTCCAATCTTGTGGGTTTTCTCTGTGACCTCCGGTTTCCTCTCATTGCCAAAAACCCCTACGTACAAGTGAATTATTGAAATAAAATAGAACCATGTGTTAGTCCCGAAATGACCTAGTTTGTGTCAAGTGGATGTTAAACCCCATTTCTCTCTCTCCTCTCTCTCTTCATGTTATTCACAATGGGGAGCCATGGTGGCTAAGTGAGTAAGGCACTGGAGGTTGCGTGTTCGCTCCCGGTCTTGGCCGAGAAAGTTCATCAGGATTTTCTGGCGTGGTTTCCCCTTGTCAGTGGTGCAGGACGGACGGCTTGACAAGGACAGCTGTCTAGTCATTCGAATGGTATGAAAAAACGAGGTTCTTTGTACACATTGGCATGCACGATAAAAGATCCCTTGGTAGTTGAAATTCGATATAAGAGTAGGCTGTAGCACTGCTGTCGGGGAAAAAATTTTCTTCCTAGCACACTGTATGGCGTATGCCCGTCTTCATTAGCCCAGTCAGAGCAGAACAGTATCATGTCAAACACCATTTCATTTCATGTTAGTTACTCTGTGGTTGCAGATCACAGAAATAATTGGATTTTATTTGAAGATTGATTTGATGTTTTTCAGGCGTTGATTGAATCATTAGAAGGTAAACAAGGTAAACCACGTCTCAAGCCTCCATTCCCTGCTGATGTTGGTGTATTTGGTTGTCCTACTACAGTAGCTAATGTAGAAACAGTTGCTGTAGCACCGGTAATTAGCTTTTTTTCTTTTAGGGGCGAGGCTACCCCAAAAATGTTTTTTTTAATTTTAAAGCTGTTGAATTGAAAATGGTACAAGTAGTTATGAACTGTAATAAAGAAGGGAAAACTAACATTTAAAAAAAGTTTTTTCCAGGGTAACACATTTCGGGGGGAAAAGTATGAAAAAAGCTTTAAAATCTAAAGAATTTTTTTTTCGAGTAACCTCCCCCCTTTTTATGTCTCTGCATTACTTTTTATGTCTCTGCACTACTTTTTATGCAGAATTGTAGTTGCTCTTTTACTCATTGTGGATTAAATACCTTTAATAACGAATTAAAAGTTTATTGCATAAAGGGAAAAGCTTTGCTGTCACTGTTACATATATTTTTAGACACTGTCGCTTTTATTTGTGGAGTGTTTCATACAAAATATCTTGTCCCTTTTCTAAAGTCAGTTAGATGTAAAATATGTTTCAGATGCCCAATATATTGATGGCTGCGAGTGTGTCTAGCCATTTGCATGAGACAAAAAATCGAGGTCACAGAAACAAATTGGTAGTGCACGTAAGAGATCCCTTGACAGTTGGAACTCAAAAAAGAGTAGGTGGAATTGCTGCTGCCTGGGTAATATTGCCCACTTGACTATAGAAATAAAATTACCACATGTTAGTCTCATGACATTAAACCTTGTTCCCTTTTTCACCAGCAATTTTGTATAAGGAGTGCACCTAATACACGGTGTTAAGAAAATCCAGGCTTTCCTGTGTCAATACCGATTCGGCCAATGAAGACAGAAATCTGCATTACAGTGTGCTACAAGTGGAAATTTTGCCCTGGCAGCAGCACTGCTATGTCCTACTCTTATTTTGAATTCCATCTATCAAGTGTTATTTTACGGGTACGACAATGTCACAGGATCATCCGAAAGACTAGACACTGTCCTTGTTAGGCCCTCCATCCTGCACCCACTGACAAGGGGGGGAACTGCAGCGGAAAATTTGTAAGTTATGAATTGATGAGAAAAATTTTATTTGTTTTTAGGGTATTTGTCGAAGAGGTGGAGAGTGGTTTGCAACTTTCGGACGAGAGAGAAATCGAGGAAACAAGGTGAGTGGTCAAAACATAGAAATAATTTAAGTTTTTTACCAAAACAAACAGGGACTATGTAGTAATATCTTTCATTGAGCAATCTGATTAAAATAAATATCTATATTTCGTTTCATTTTTATACGCCCACATGGAAATGTGGTCGTATATTGCCGTCGCCCCCGTCGGTCGGTCCGTCGGTCCGTCGTCCACAATTTCTTGTGAACACTCTACAGACTACATTTATCATCTGATTGTTTCGAAATTAATATATGTTGTTTGCATTAGTGAGATGAAGAAGCCTATTTAATTTCAATAACTTCCGTTAATTTCGTCTGGAGTTATGGCCCTTGTTTCACTTTGTTGCACCTTGTGAACGCTCTAACAACAAAAGTTATCAACCTATCTGTATGAAATTTATATGCATCATTTAAATTAGTAAAACAAAGAAGCCTATTGAATTTCAGCAATTTCCGTTAATTAATCTAGAGTTATGGCCCTTGTTTCACTTTGTTGAATCTTGTGAACGCTCTAATGACAACAGTTATCATCTGATCTGTTTGAAATTGATATGCATCATTTAAATTAGTGAAACGAAGAAGCCTACTGAATTTGAGCAATTTCCGTTAATTATGCCGTGAGTTATGGCCCTTGTTTCACTTTGTTGAATCTTGTGAACGCTCTAATGACAACAGTTATCATCCGTTCTGTATGAAATTGATATGCATCATTTAAATTAGTGAAACGAAGAAGCCTATTGAATTTGAGCAATTTCCGTTAATTACGCCATGAGTTATGGCCCTTGTTTCACTTTTTTTGTATCTTGTGAATGCTCTAACGACAAAAGTTATTATCCGATCTGTATGAAATTTATATGCATCATTTAGATTAGTAAAACAAAGAAGCTTATTGAATTTCAGCAATTTCCGTTAATTACATCTAGAGTTATGGCCCTTGTTTCACTTTGTTGAATCATTTGAACGCTCTAATGACAACAGTTATCATCCGATCTGTTTGAAATTGATATGCATCATTTAAATTAGTGCAACGAAGATGCCTATTGAATTTCAACAATTTTTGCGTTAATTACACCGTAAGTAATGGCCCTTTTTTCACTTTGTTGTACCTTGTGAATGCTTTAACGACAAAAGTTATTATCCGATCCGTATGAAATTTATAGGTATCGTTTAAATTAGTAAAACGAACAAGCCTATTGAGTTTCAGCAAATTTCCGTTAATTACATCTAGAGTTATGGCCCTTGTTTCACATTGTTGAATGTTGCTTGAACGACAAAAGTTATCACCCAATCTGTATGAAATTCATATGCATCATTTAAATTTGTGAAATGAAGAAGCCTATTGAATGTCAGCAATTTCTGTCAATTACTTCTAGAGTTATGGCCCTTGTTTTACTTTGTTGAACCTTGTGAACGTTCGAACGACAAAAGTTATCATCCGATCTGTATGAAATTGATATGTATTATTTGATTTAGTAAAACGAAAAAGTCTGTTGAATTTCAACAATTGCTGTAGATTACTTCCAGAGTAACAGCCCTTGTTTTAGTTTTTAGAACCTTGTGAACCCTCAAACGATGAAAATTATAATGTCATCTGTATGAAATTGTCCATTAAATGCCCCCTAATTACCTACAAAAGAACAAATATATGACAACTCTTGTCGACCGCTCGGACGATTTAGCTACTGTGGGCGTATGTTTAGTTGCCTGGCAACCTATCTTTTATCTTTTCGATAGCCTACACTACATAAAGATCTGACCAGTTTTGCTTGAAGGTCGCGTCAGAGGTCATACAAGCGGCTTTTGACCCTCTGACGTCAGATATTTGATTAACCAATCAGCATTGTTGTTTCTAGTGGATTATCCAAAAGCTCGCCGTAACAGACCGTTTCATTAGCTAATCCCTCACATCATCCAGAATAGTTAATGATAACAACTCTTCCAGATCCTAGTGTAGTAAAGTCAAGTAAAACGAAATTTTGAACTATAAAATACGAAACGAAATAGGATCTGAGTTTTAATCAGATTGTTCATTGAGTCATTTGGCGTAGTTTCTCTGCCCTAAATGACCACCATATCCATAAATTAGTAAACTGTTTTGTAATGTGGCCCTACTCCAGTTCACATCTATTATACACAAAAAGATTAATTAAACTTTTTCAATAATAGAAAGCAGAATATATACTTTTCTAAATTATCGAAATATACTTACATGTAGTGTTTTGGACTAAAATCATCGATTTAGGGCTTAAAATGTTGGTCAACTAGCTTAGTGTCTGTTCCAAAGTGGCTCTAATAGAGCTAATAAGTTTATTATAAAGGACTAGTGTCACCGCCCTTGATCGTGGGTTTTCTCCTAGTTGCCCAGGTTTTAACTCACTGCTCAAGACCACTGTTGAAATACAAGGTGTACTGTATCTGAGTTCAGAAATGACCTAGTTTGTGTTGAGTGGACGTTAAACCTCATCTCTCTCTCTTTGTAACTTAGGAAATGAAATGGGGTTTAACGTCCTACTGTTCTGCTCTGACTGGGCTAATGAAGACAGGCATACACCATACAGTGTGCTACGAGAGAAATTTTGCCCGGTCAGCGGCGCTACGACCAACTCAACTGCACGCCAATGTGTTTTTTATGCCATCCCAACAACTAGACAGCTCTCCTTATTAAGCCCTCCCCACTGCACCACTGACAAGCGGAGACCACACCGGAAAATCCTGATGAACTTTCTCGTCTAACCCGCGACCGACTGGCTAGCAGGCCAGCGTCTTAATCACTTAACTACCGTGGCTCCCTTGAAACTTAAGAGTTTCGTTATTATTTGCAAATTTTTTCAAGTTATAAATTATATTTTTCAGTTATTTAATATTTCTGGTCAAGTAAACAACCCTACCACAGTAGAAGAAGAAATGTCTATACCATTACGTGAACTAATAGAACGACATGCGGGAGGTGTTATTGGTGGCTGGGATAATTTATTGTGTGTTATACCGGGTGGCTCTTCAACACCTATCATACCCAGAAGGTAATGTCTCATTTATGTCCATTCTAAACACAGAGATCCATCTACTACATACTTGGACAGTCAACTGGCTTTGTTTTGATTCCCTGGTTGTACGTGACAAGGAGTAGGGTCGCCTGTCCAACCTCGTGGGTTTTCTCTGTGTCCTGCGGTCTCCTCCCACTCCTAAAGATCTCTAAGCGGAAGTGAATTATTGAAATAAAATTGAACCATGTATTAGTCCCGAAATGACCTAGCTTGTGTTGAGTGGACGTTAAACCCTATTTCTCTCTCTCTCTGTAAATTGGATGCTCATTATCAAAATTAATCTGTCAACTTTAAACTGAACACAAGTACAAATTAGATGATTTGGGTTGATTTTAAATGATTTTTACGAATTTTTTAAACAAAGATTTGATATTTAACAATTGTGAAAAAAATTACTGCTAGTAGATACACTAGTGTTGTTTTAGAGGCATTTAGTAACTGGATTGTTCTTCCATATAGTTTATAGATACACTAGATTAAATGATACCCGGGTTACAAGTGATACCTTTAAAAGATTAAATGATTCTTGAGTTACAAGTGATACCTTTAAAAGATTAAATGATTCTTGAGTTACAAGTGATACCTTTAAAAGATTAAATGATACCTGGGTTACTAGTGATACCTTTAAAAGATTAAATGATACCCGGGTTACTAGTGATACCTTTAAAAGATTAAATGATACTCGAGTTACAAGTGATACCTTTAAAAGATTAAATGATACCTGGGTTACTAGTGATACCTTTAAAAGATTAAATGATACCCGGGTTACTAGTGATACCTTTAATAGATTAAATGATACTCGAGTTACAAGTGATACCATTAAAAAATTAAATGATACCTGGGTTACTAGTGATACCTTTAAAAGATTAAATGATACCCGGGTTACTAGTGATACCTTTAAAAAGATTAAATGATACCCGGGTTACTAGTGATACCTTTAAAAGATTAAATGATACCTGGGTTACAAGTGATACCTTTAAAAGATTAAATATTGTATTTTCAGTGTTTGTGATGATATTTTGATAGAAATTTGAGATGGCAGGGTTTAGACCATTAGTTGAATTGACATAGAATGCCCCCGCCCCCTTCATCAGGGAATTGAGAGAAGATACCTTTAAAAGATTAAATATTGTATTTTCAGTGTTTGTGATGATGTTTTGATGGATTTTGATGCGTTAATACAAGCTCAGACTGGTTTAGGTACAGCTGCTATTATTGTAATGAATAAACAATGTGATGTTATCAGATGTATAGCTAGACTTATAGATTTCTATAAACATGAATCTTGTGGACAGGTACGTATATACTTTATACTACTGGACAGGTATGCGTATACTTTATACTACTGGACAGGTATGCTTATACTTTACACTACTGGACAGGTACTTTAATACCTTATCTAAACCATGATATGGTTTATACTTACTTATACTAAACAAAGTCATGGTTTGCCATTGTCAAAGGAAACAGAAAAATCTGATTGACTAATCGATGCAAATCAGTCCTTGTATAAAGTCACATTTCTATTGTTTCTTGAGCGGTTGCCTTCCAAAAAAAGGAGTGAGCCACGGTGCTAAGTAAGTGAGACGCTGGCTCGCTAGCCTGGAGGTCGGGTGTTCAATTCCTGCATTGGCCGAGAGAAAGTTCATCGGGACTTTCTGGCGTGGTTTCCCCTTGTCAGTGGTGCAGGATGGAAGGCCTGACAAGGACAGCTGTCTAGTCATTCGGATGGAATGAAAAACCAAGGTCCGTTGTATACATTGGCATGCACGTAAAAGATCCATTTTCAGTTGGAATTTGATATAAGAGTAGGCCATAGTGCCGCTGCCCAGGCAAAATTTCCCTCATAGCACACTGTATGGCATATGCCTGTCTTCATTAGCCCAGTCTGAGCAGAATAGTAGGATATTAAACCCCATTTCAGTAAAAAAGTAGATAAAGTGTGAAAAATTCACGATCAGCAATTTAATTTTGTTTGTTTTATTTGTTTAGTGTACTCCATGTCGTGAAGGAACAGGATGGATGAAGAAAGTTATGGATAGATTTGTAACCGGTAACGCTCAGCCAGAAGAAATAGATATGTTATATGAACTAACTAAACAGATAGAAGGTCATACTATATGTGCTCTTGGTGATGGAGCAGCTTGGCCAGTACAGGTTAGAAACATTATTATTCTTTTTCAAAAGAGACTAACCTACCCTGATTCAGATTGGATGTCTTTTATTTATGCAAGATGGATTTAATCTTATGATTGCTCATGCAGTGGTGTAGCTAGGAGGGATCAAAGGGAAGCAACCACTTCCACCTGAGCACATTATTCAAAAGAGTGATTTTTCGTTTATATTTTAACTGTTTAAGTCTATAATTCTTTTTTTTTTTTTTATTGATCATATTTTAATTATTCTTTTATATCGCATTACAGGGGGTTGGGTGGCCGAATGGTTAGCATGTGCCCGCTGTATCATAAGGCCTGTCATTGAGTCAACTGGCATGGTTTTGATTCCCCTGTTGTATGTGGCAAGGAGTAGGGTCGTCTGTCCAACCTCATGGGTTTCCTCCGGATCCTCCCACTGCTAAAGACCCCTACGTGCAAACGAATTATTGAAATAAAATTAAACTGTGTGTTAGTCCCGAAATGACCTAGTTTGTGTCAAGTGGATGTTATATAAACCCCATGTCTCTCTCTCCTTGTATTTTAATTGTAAAAACAAATTAAAATGTATTATGAATCTAAAACTAATCCTATGTTTCATGATGGCGCCATATTGTCATGTGCTCGATCCTCCTAACTTTAAAACCGGCTTACACCCTTGTGTTCATTATCAATCTTCATTAGGTACTTTTATAGTTTGTACAATTAACTTTTAAAAGTATTTTATTAGATCTTCTTTAATATGAACAGCTATGTGAGATTTCCTGGCGTTATTGTGATTGTCGGCCTTCATAAACTAGTACTGCTATCACTAGCCATTTATTAGTTAAAGCAAATATTTTAACTGGTCTAATGAAGACGGCATATGCCATACAGTGTGCTGTGAGGGAATTTTTGCCCAGACAGCAGCGCTAAGGCCTACTCTTATATCGAATTCCAAGTGCCAGGGGATCTTTACGTGCACACCAATGTGCACATGAAGCCTTGGTTTTTTGGCCCATCCAAATTTTTGAACATCTGTCCTTGTCAGGCCCTTCGTCCTGCACCAATGACATGGGTAAACCACGTCGGAAAATCCTGATGAACTTCCTCAGTGAACACCGGCAGTGAACCCGCAACCTCCATCTGATTGCGAGGATCCAGTTAACAGAGTTCAATTAGAATTCTTCAGCCTATTATTAACCCTGTTATCTTTTGAAAGCCTATACAGGTTAAACCAAAAACAAAATAAATCCTTATTTATCTAATTTTAGGGACTCATTCGACATTTCCGGCCAGTCATTGAAGAGAGGATGCAGAATTTCCAAGAACAGAATCAGAAAACTGCTGGAAGAAACTAGACAAAACTAGAAAATTTAACCAGTTGATTCTATGACTTAAGGAATCTTTTTGAATGTAGATTTGAAAATGACTGTAAAAATGTTTCTTTGTGTTGCACAAAAGGGTTTTAAAAAAAAGTGACATGACTTAATTATATTAGTTATTGGATCAAAGTATTACGATGCAGAATAATTTATTGTACATATGAAAGCAACAAAGTGCTGAAACATTGAAACTCCTTCTTTGTATAATATCTAAAGAGAATCAGGCGCATGTATTTTGTTGAGGGGGGGGCTGGGGGAGTGGGGGGGGGCATGGCATCCTCTGAGAATATTTTGAAAAATTGAGATTCGTGTTGCATATATCTGGTGGACCCAAACATAACAATCAGTTTTAACCCCTCATCACCCCAATCAATAAAAAGCTTGCTGCTTATTATACGAACGCCACTACAGTGACAAAAGGTTTATTAAGGGGTTTTTATGTCTTATTATATAAAGAGGGAGTATTTGTATATATCAACTACTGGTTGAAATATTTCACTTTGTGTTACTTATAATAATAGTGTATATGTTTCTTACTAATGTAGATGACAAAAACATCAGAGATATTAAAACAATTTAAAGTTAATGGAAGATTTTTTTTTACACTGTCTTGACTGCTAAACAATTGATATGAAATGGGGTTTAACGTCCTACTGTTCATCTCTGACGTCGAGTGGACGTTAAACCTCATTTCTCTCTCTCTCTTACTCACCTAGCCCCTGTGGCTCCTAATTTCCAAGCAAGTCTCACTATCGGTTTACTGCTGATAAATCAAATGAAATAGGGTTTAAAGTCCTACTTCTCTGCTCCAACTGGGCTTATGTTCTCCGTTAAAAGGCATACCTTATTTTTAGTTCTTCAGGGTGTTGATAAATAATTAGCCATAAGAAAATAGATAAAATTAATTTTTTTATTAACAAAATATCACTATATATTTTTCTACTTTTCATAAAAATTAAAATATATAACAATAACTGGAATAAATTTAAAAAATGATTCATAAATTCACAAAAATGATTCATAAATTCACAATATTAGTAGAGAAATATAGATAAAAATAATTACTTGGATGTACTATACACAACTATAATATATAATTAATTTGTACTTATTTGTTCAGACTATACTATTAACAACTATTGGGGGGTGGGATGGCCGAATGGTCAGCATATGTGCGCTGTATCATAAGGTCTGTCAGAGAGTCAGATTAAAAAATAATAGTCTTACTACACTTTAATCTTAATCTCAAGGTAACAAGTGACAAACCAAGCAATGACCTTCAAGTATCTCATCATTTTATGGTGACTTGATATAAAACAAATATATATTTGTTTTAGAGTCATGATGAATAATTTACCAGTTATTATACAATATATTACAGAAAAACTATTTGGATTGATTAAGAACTTAATAAAATTACTTAAAAAGAAAATCCAGTTAATTAACTATACTTTCGATTCATTTTTTAAGTCATACATGTACAGTGAAAACATCAATTTTTGTCACCACTGTCAAGGGGCTCGTTTTTTCACCCTGAGGAAATGTCTCGGCCAACACAAGGAGCAAACAGGAGACCTCCAGGTTAGCGAGCCAACGTCTTACTCACTGAACCACCACGGCTCCACAGTATGAATAATTATTTGAGTATTTCTATATGCTTAAATATCCTCTATAATGGATCCCATCATTAATCACTGTTTCCAATTATACTTCATTTACCAATCATTATGTTTCCAATACATCAAATATTTTACAATAACAGGCTTATATTATTCACTTATATCTCACAGAAAAGAAAAGTTACGCAAGCAGTCCATCAATTGCCCCGATGTTCATTTTCCTCATCAGTCACAAATTACTTCCAAACAAATTAATAAATAATATGGAATTTTGATCAGATATGATGAAAATAATTTCTTGCCCCAACTGTTCATTTTCCTCATCATTCATGAATTACTTCCAAACAAATTAATAAATAATGTGGAATTTTGATCAAATATGATGAAAATAATTTCTCAAATGAGTGGTTAATCATTATTACAGTTAGGATTATAGAATCTTAATTCACATCAATTACATTTTAGTTTTGTCTTCTAATTAAACTATTCGGTACTAATTACCCGTACCTAAATATACTAACATAATCTTTAAGTGGCATTTAGCGATTCAGAAACACATTAACAGAACACAATTTTTATGGGAAACAATCACTGGTTTTATTCTAAAAGCGTTGTGCGTTTAGAATAAAACCAGTGATTGTTTCCCATAAAAATTGTGTTCTGTTAAACTGTATTACATGTTCAAAAACCTTACAACATCATGGAATCACCAACAAATCTAAACTTGGGCATCCAGATGCTTATATTTGTTCTTTGCCAAATAAATTATATTGTAATGAAACAGTTGTATGTAGCACTATGAAAATTGATGGTGTGCTAAAACCATGTTTAATTTGAGTAGATGGTGTGCTAAAACATTGTTCATCTTGAGTAGATGGTGTGCTAAAACATTGTGCTAATTCCTTGTTTATCTTGAGAGTAGATAGTGTGCTAAAAACTTGTTTGAGTAGATGGTGTGCTAAAACCTTGTTTATCTTGAGTAGATAGTGTGCTAAATCCAAGGTTTATCTTGAATAGATGGTGTGCTAAATCTGTGTTTATCTTTAGTAGTTGGTGTGCTAAAACTTTGTTTATCTTAAGTAGATGGTGTGCTAAATCCATGTTCATTTTGAGTAGATGGTGTGCTAAAACCTTGTTTAACTTGATAGTATGCTAAATCCAAGGTTTATCTTGAATAGATGGTGTGCTAAACCCTTGTTTATCACAAGTATTTTATCCTGTAGGTGGTTTGTTAAAACCTTGTTTACTTGTAAATTTAAATAATATCACAACCAGTGTCTGAAAAATAGAAATTAAAATTATTTTATAAAATATGGGATGCCAGTCAACTAAACCCACCCATCAGAAGCTTTATTGTCCAATTACCCATACACATTTGTGTTTAGAAAATGATTTAGTGAGACTTGAGAATCTATCCCTATTTTTGCAATCTGTAACCTGTATCACTTACTCAATGTCCAAATTTAAACAGGGACAGGCGACCCTACATCCTTGTCACGTACAAACGGGGAATCGAAACCACCCCAGTTGACTCAATGACAGACCTTATGATAAAATGCGCACAGCTAACCATTCAACAATCAAACCCTCGTCAAATCCCTGACAGATGCAGGGTATATAAATATGGTGTGTAAGTAAAACTTACAGTAGCTAGATATAAAAAGCCACAGGAACTAGCAGCCCAACCAAACCCAAAATGATCTTGTAATAATCCTCCTATAGATGGTCCAACAAAAGCTCTGAAATAATAACATACAGTAAACATAAAACATTTTATAAAACACTTTCTTTTGCAAATCGACATCTTGCTTGCTGTAATTAAATAACTAATAAATTAAATAAATTAAATACATCAAATAAATAATAAATTATATAATAAATTAAAAAAATAAATCAAATAAATTAAATAAATAATAAATTTAATAAAGAAAAATAAAAAAAATTAATAAAATAAATTAAATATAATAAATAAATCAAATTAAATAAATAAATCAAATAAATAAATGAAATAAATAATAAATTAAATAATAAATTAAATAAATAAATAAATTAAATAAATAATTAAATAAATAATAAATTTAATAAAGTAAAATCCAAAAAAATAATAAAATAAATTAAATAAAATAAATAAATTAATCAATAACAAAATCAATTAAATTAAATCACTCGGCGACATCGTGTTCTGCATGCTCTCAAGCGCCATTTGCAATGAGGCGCAGTCATGAATGAAACAAAACAAGAGTGTAAAAACAAAACAAGAGTGTAAAAACGAAATATCAAACTGTATCCCCGATGTGGACTGGTCTTATAAGAAGGGAGCGCTTGCCATTCAATGTGGACTACTTTTGTATTTCAACAAACATACCTTATTAGAAATTACAATAAAAATGAATGTTAATCAGTTTATATGCATTTATGTGTGGTTTAATGGTCTTAAGCTCAAAATTATTAAACAATTAAATTACAGACACTCACACATGTTTTGCAAAAAAATACATCACACTGGTCCAAAATTTAAACTAGTATAAATAATGTACGCTTGGCACATTGCCTGTACCATTATTTGGAATAATGGTACGCCAACATCAAAGGATGACCTCGCTTGACCCTTTTTCGTTCATTTTTGGTTCCAAAGAATAGAGATTTAGCTCCTTTTATACCTAAATTAAATATTCAGATGATCAACTTACCCTAAAGAGAATGATGAATTAAATAGACCAGATACCATACCAAATGTATCTAATGATTCATCTAAACCTAACTGTCTGAAATATAAACATAATATTAAATAGACCAGATACCATACCAAATGTATCTAATGATTCATCTAAACCTAACTGTCTGAAATAAGAGTAATCAAAAACATGCTTGAATATTGTATTGGCAGTGTACCTAAAACAAAGTGTCAGGGAACAAAAGTGCTTGTTCTAGTTATACTGTTAATGTATTAGTTGATGTCTTGTCCAGTTTATTCGTGTAGCATTGGGATTTCCCAAGATTATTGACTTGGCAAAAAATATATTAAACTTATGGCAGTCAAATTTTCAACATTACAATATGTCACAAGTGGGGTGACTCCTCCTTTGACCACTTATTATCTCCACTTAAACCCTTTGGTTTATGAAATGCATATACATCTGCTTGTCACAAACCAGTTCATTTGGGACTAACATGGTTCGATTTTATTTCAATAATTGCGCGTAGGGGTCTTTAGCTGTGAGAGGAAACCTGAGGACCGGAAGAAAACCCACGAGGTTGGACAGGTCGAAACCACACCACTTGACTCAATGAAAGACCTGATGATCTAGCCTGTAGGCATTAAAACATCCAGCAGTCCAACATCCCCAACTTCAATAAAAAAAAATAAAATGCTCCGACCGGGCTAATGAAGAAAGCATATGCCATACTGTAGAACACTATGAGGGAAATTTTACCATGACAGCAGCATTACTGCCTACTCTTATATCAAATGCCAAGTAATCTCGGTTTTTCAACCCATTCGAACAACTAGACAGCTGAACCACTGACAAGGGGAAACCATGCCAGAAAATCCCAACTACAATAAAAGTTATACTTACTTTGCACCTGTCAAGATACCCGTAAAAGTAGGAATAAGACAACAGCCAATAAACAGTCCAAAACAACACAATGTAACAATCGTTAGCCATAGATTAAACGGTAGAAATGGTAGAAATGGTGCCGGTCCCAATAAAAGATAGGCAATCCCTGAGAAAAATAGACCTATTATCATCATACCCGCTGTCCAATCCTGAAAACAAAACAAGTTTTGAAAATATGCATTATTTAAGAATTACATAAAGAACTGGCCGTTCTTCCTATACTAGTTCAAAAATAGATAATGGGAAATTAATATATTAACTTTATTCTGAGCAAAGTTATCATTATCTAAGAATTACATAAAGAACTGGCCGTTCTTCCTATAATAGTTCAAAATTAGATAATGGGAAATTAATATATTAAATTATTTTATTCTGAGCAAAGTTATGAGTGCTTGAAGTTTTAACAAGATAGTCTCAATTGTCAAGTACCATTGCTACAATAATAAACAAAGAGAGAGAGAGAGAGAGAGAAATGGGGTTTAACGTCCACTCGACACAAACTAGGTTATTTCGGGACCAACATATGGTTTAATTTTATTTCAATAATTCGCTTGCGCGTAGGGGTCTTTAGCAGTGGGAGGAAACCAGAGGACCCGGAGAAAACCCACGAGGTTGGACAGGCGACCCTACTCCTTGTCACGTACAACCGGGGATTCGAAACCACGCCAGTTGACTCAATGACAGGCTTTATGATACAGCACGCACGTGCTAACCATTCGGCTAACCAAAGTCTGGACTATCCATTATAGCAATATCATAGACTGGACCTAAATATGACTGTCAAATTCATAAACATGTTTTATAAGACATTACATCAAGTAATCCTACGGAAATAGATAATATTATGATATATTAAAATGACCCAGGTTAAAATGAAGCAATAGATTAACACCATACTTTCAAACTGATATAGTAATTGAACTGAGTGGAAATTTTACCAGAGAGAGAAAGAGAGAGAAAGAGAGAGAGGAGAGAGGGTTAAGTCGTTTCAGGACACCTGAGGACCCCGGAGAAAACCCACGACGGTGGACAGACGACCCTACTCCTTGTCAAGTACCAGCGGGGAATCAAAACCACGCCACTTGACTCAATGGCAGACCGTATGATCTAAAGCTCACGCATTAAGAATTGGCCACAGAATAGGTTTTGTTTTAAACTTCTATTTTACCAATTTGGTGGCAATAGAGGGGGGGGGGGAGAGAGAGAGAGAGACAAGGGGGTGAATTTTCCCCCCCACATTAATCTGGTCTGCCCTCTGTTTGCCCAGCCAATAATTTTAGAAAATAAAAAAAAGTATTTGCGAAACGTTTCGGTAATCAATACCTTCTACGGTGAATAAATCCCACATCCCCACTCAGTCATAAACTTGCATGTTGTAGAGCATTTCCGACAGTCTATTTTTCAAAATTTTCTTGGCGAGGTCACCAATGGACAGTCTAGTTGCAAGTCAATTACTTTGACAGCTTGACTACCGCAAACCGGCTTCATGAACCATGTTCAAGGTACTTCTCGGCCCACAGAGTGAATCGAACATGGACATTCTCTCACTCTGACTGCTTGACTAACGCAAACCATGACCCAACTTCATATGAAATGTGTTAAAGGTACTTCTCGGCCCACGGACAGAATGAAATGAAATGAAATATTCTACAGTTCTGCTCCGACACATCTAACGAAGACAGGCATAATACGTCCTACTCCCTGAATCCCACAGATTAAATCAAACCCAGGACATTCTAGTGCCCTACCTGACTGCTCGTTTACCACGATCCAATAATATACACTATAAAAATGCAAACGAAAACGTACCTTAGCATCACCAAGGTAACCCCATATAGGTGCTGTAAAACCATATACACCAGGTGCACATAGAAATATTAAACCAATGTATAAACTACTTAAATTAAACTGAAAATAAAAATATATTCATTACCTATACAAACATCTATATATATATTTGTGACTGTCGTTTGTCTGTCTGTCTGTCTGTCTGTTCGGGTTGGCGGCTACACTAGGTCTGCCCCGAGTCTGAAATTTGGGGTATAGGGGTAGCTCGGACCGAGGAGTAACATAGACCAGGTGGCGTTAGTCTACCACTTCCGGTTTCGGAGTTATGACCCCCGAGCGAAGCCAGGTATCCTGCTAGTAATATATATAAATAATCTAATCTGATTAAAACCCAGATCCTATTTCGTTTAGTATTTTATAGTTCAAAATTTCGTTTTAGTTGTCTTCACAACACTAGGATCTGGAAGAGTTGTTATATAACAGAAGTTCTAGTTGAAGTGAGGAATTAATCAATGAAACGGTCTGTTACGGTGAGTTCTTGGCGTGCTCTGCACAGAATTATGGGTAAACCCCTAGAAACGTCAACGCTGATTGATTAATCAATATCTGACGTCATAGTGTCAAAAGTCGCTCGTATGACCCCTGACGCCACCTTCCAGTACAACTGGTCAGATCTTCATGTAGTGTAGACCATCGAAAGCATAAACAAACGAAACGAAATATAGATCTGTATTTCAATCAGATTGCCTGTGGATACACATGAAACAAAACGGGGTTTAACAAATATCAACTTCGCTAATGAAGACGGGCACACATACAGAGTGCTATAAGGTGCAACGGCCTACTTTAATTTCGATTTTCCAAATGTCTCTAGGGATCTTTTATGTGCACACTATTGTGTAAATGGGACCTCAGATTTTCGTCCCATGTCCTTGTCAGGCCCTCCGTCCTGCACCACTATCAAGGAGGAACCACATCAGGAGCGAACTCGAGACCTCCTGGTTCAAGTATTGATTAGCTTCCCTTTGATTCAGTGTACAGAGGAAAGGAAAGTTAAACAAAGTACAAAATGAAATGAAATGGGGTTTAACATCCTTTTGTTCTGCTCCGACTGCGTTAATGAAGACAGGCATATGTCATACAGTGTGCTTTGAGGGAAATTTTGCCTGGACAACGGCAACATAATATATGAATTTTAAACAATGTGACGGACAGACTGGCATGACGACAACATACGATCGTATAAAAAGAACTTACAACTTCTAGATGATTAGCTAATGTAGGATCTAGAAAACCGAGAGAGAAAGATCCACAGAATACCGTTAAACAGCATACAACTACCAGTGGACTTGTTAATAATCTTAAAACAGATCCTTTAAATGCTTTAGCTCCCTCTGAAAAACATTCATCAGCAAACATTTGTAAAATTTGTAGAATTAAAGCTATGGATGGAGTAGAAGCACCGACTGGCATAATAAAGAAGGGACATTTTGCTGGCCCTGCTGCCCTGCTGCCTACTCTTATATCGAATTCCAACTGCCAAGGGTTCTATTACGAGCACGCCAATATGTTCATAGGACGTTGTTTTTCATCCCATTCCAAAGACTATATACGTAAAGACTATATACGTTGTCCCTTGCCAGACACCACCCGTCCTGCATCACTGACAAGGGGGAGTCACCTAGGCAAATTCTGATGAACCTTCTTGGCCAACACCAGGATCGAACACTGGATCTTCAGGTTAGCGAGATAAGATCTTACTGAGCCACCGCTGCCCATGGGTGTCCAATCATAATTAGAAGGGAGAGAGAGAAATTGGATTTAACATCCACTCGACACAAACTAGGTCATTTCGGGAATAACATATGGTTCAATTTTATTTCAATAATTCATTTGCGTGTAGGGTCTTTAGCAGTGGGAGGAAACAGGAGGACCCGGAGAAAACCCATGAGGTTGGACAGGTGAGTCTACTCCTTGTCACGTACAGCTGGGGAATCAAAACCACGCAAGTTGACTCAATGACAGACCTTATGATAAAACTCATTAACCATTTGGCCATTCAACCCCCCTGATAAATAGAAGAACCGGCTTGAAAAAACTTTTAAGTTCTTCTTGACCAAATTGGAATCCAGGACATTCTAGTCAAGTGTCTACGCCAATCCAGATTGCCTGGAAGATTTTATTATTATAGGGATTGAGTGAAATGGGGTTTTAACATCCGCTCGACACAAACTAGATCATTTCGGAACTAATGTATGGTTCAGTTTTATTTCATAAATTCTCATACTTGTGCGATTCTTAGAAGTGGGAGTAAACTGGAGAAAACCCAAGTAATGTTCTGCTCTGACTAGGCTAATGAAGGTGGTGGGCATACGCCATACAGTGTGCTATGAGGGTAATTTTACCCGGGCAGCGGCACTATGGCCTACTCTTATATCAAATTCCAACTGCCAAGAACCTTTTATGTACATGCCAATGTATACCTGGGACCTCTGTTTTTCGTCCCAGCTCAACGACTAGACATCAGGAACTCCATCCATCCCGCAACACTGACAAGGGGACACCGCGTCGGAAAATCGCGATGAACTGAGAAAACTCAAGAAGTTGGACAGACATCCGTTCTCCTTGTCAAATACAAGTGGGAAATTGACTCAATGACAGAATAAGACGGAATGATGAAATTTCTCGGCCAACACCAGGGTTGAACACCAGGTAAGCGAGCCAGCATCTTACTCACTGAGCCACTGCGGTTCCCAAAGAACTACCTACCATGGGGGGGTTGGATGGCTGAATGGTTAGCACGTTCGCGCTGTATCATTGAGTCAACTGGCGTGGTTTCGATTCCCCGGTTGTACAAGACAAGGAGTAGGGTCGCCTGTCCAACCTCGTGGGTTTTCTCCGGGTCCTACGGTTTCCTCCTATTGCTAAAGACCTCACGTGCAAGCGAATTATGGAAATAACTTTGAACCATATGTTAGTCCCGAAATGACCTAGTTTGTGTCGAGTGGACGTTAAACCCCATCTCTATCTCTCTCTCTTACTCACTGAGCCACTGCGGCTCCCAAAGAACTACCTACCATCTTGTCCTGGCATAAATATAAAAGAAACACATCCACATGTTATCAAGATAGCACCCATAGTCCAAAATGGCAGCCCATAACCTCCAAGCTAAAAAAATACAATATAAAATCAAAAAACCACCCTGGGCCCTGTTTCTTGAAATCTTAACTAAAGATAAAATCTAAATTTTAGTAGATACTTCAATTTTCATTGGCTAAGCACTAAAATCAATCTTATATTATCCAATCAAATTACTAAAATGTGGATTTTATCTGAGTTAAAATTTCGTGAAACAGGCCCCAGGAGATAGTCATGCTCCCTAATATTACTACCAACAATGTAAATAAATCACGCTGAGCACATTTCAATTAAAAAAAATCACGTTGAACAAATTTAAATTTAAAAAAATTCATTATTGCCCCTTAATCAAAAGCTTGAAAAGCATAAATGTGGAGGGTGAGATAATTCTGCAAAACATCAGAGCGTGTATGAAATTTAAAATTCAAATATTGAAACTCAAAAAGTGTTTTCCTTGCACATCAATGAACAATCTTAGCAAATTTTCATATATTTTGTCACAAATTAGGAGGAGTCCTATGTTTGACAACAATACATCCTACATCACTGACAAGGGGGAACCAAGGCGTAAAAATCTGGATGAACTTTCTCGTCCAATGCAGGGATCAAACACCCGACCTCCAGCTTAGCGAGCCAGCGTCTTATCCACTTAGCCACCATGACCCCTTTTTCAAAAATAAAAATGAATTAAAAACAGTACCTCATATAAAGCTCCTCCTATTGGGGGTCCTACCATCATACCGATACCACTAAATGTTTCTAAAGATCCCTACAAATAAAGTAACTAAAAATTTTAACACTGATCAAGGGCATTAAGTCTGTGAGTGGTTATCAAAACTCACTGAAAATCATTAGGATTCTTTGTCATCAAGATTTCTCAAAGTAATCAAAGGTCATAACTATTATTGAAAATTAATATGTTTCGAGATCTTATGAATATGAACATTGTGTCTTGATATAGAAGTAATCAGATGATAAGTTTAGCCTCCTGAGTGTCGAAAAGATTTAATCAGGTTCTACTTCCATTCACACATTCGGTATTGAAGTTTTGTCTTTATGTTAAATCTTTTAAAACTCGTGGATTCGCAGCCCTTTAATCTCAGCCTCAACCAAGTACACCCTTGGATTATCAAGTTAGAACAGTCAACGGGTACACCGAAGGAAAGTGCTGATTTAAGTGTAAAATGTCATCCGTAATTCGTTGGTAGGATGCAGGAGCATTAGAAAGTCCAAATGGAAGTCTTTGGTACTTATAAAATCCTAATGATCCAACAGTGACTTAATGATACGCTTTATTGGTTGATTCCCACAATTCGTGAAATGTCATGCAGAGACTCATACAAATAATGTTTCAAAGTCAGTATAGCATCGTGTTTCCTCCGTGTGACATCCATTATGCACAAAGAATAGAATCTGATTGCATCATGAAGCTGTGAAACTGGGCATGGGCACTGCAACATATTCATTAACCAAATCATTCTAAACCAGAATAATCGTATATACATTCCTGATGACAATTAAACTAATTCCCACACTTTAAAAATATTGGATAATGTGAACAATCGGAGTAGAAAAAATCAGTGAAGAGACATGGGTGATGCAATAAATTTGAGAGAAAGAGAAATGGAGTCTAACGTCCACTCGACACAAACTAGGTCATTTTGGGACTAACGTATGGTTTCAATTTTTATTCAATAATTTGCTTGCTGGTGGGTTTTCTCTGGGTCTTCCAGTTTCCTCCCATTGCTAAAAACCTCTACGCGCAAGCGAATTGTTGAAATAAAATTGAACTACGTGTTAGTCCCGAAATGACCTAGTATGTATCGAGTGGACGTTAAACCCCATTTCTGTCTCTCTCTCAATTAATTACAACAAGGGCATATAAATGTAGAGCAATACTTACAAAAACTGTAGCTACATTATTAGGGAATTCATGAGCAATAATAGCAAAACTGGCAGTGATGAATGCTGAACATCCTAAAGCCTCTACAGTTCTACTGGCAAAACACATGGCTATAAATATTCCATTGGGAGGGCATTTATCTAAAATTCTGAAAATAAAAACAAATCAATTCAGTTCTTGCTTATCGCACATAGACATGCTGATCACACCAAAGTCTCTATGGTTCTACAGGCAAACACATGGCTATAAATATTTCATTGGGAGGGCATTTATCTAAAATTCTGAAAATAAAAACAAATCGATTCTGGTCTTCTTATCGCACATAGATATGCCGAGAATGCTAAATTTAAAGTTTCTATAGTTATACAAAAAACACATGGCTATAAATACTTTATTAGGAGGACATTTATCTAAAATTCTGAATTTAAAGCAAATCAATTCTGTCCTTAACATCTTACTTATGACAAGACTTTTTAGGTTTCAAGTAGTATTGTTCTAATAAACATAAAAACATAATATGGAACACAATTACTATTTTAATTAAAGAAACATTTCTTTGAGGGTTCTTGAGAGATTGCTTGATAATGCCGAGAGAACCCTCAACGAAACGTTGCTTTAATTAAAATAGTAATTATTTCCCATATCATGTTATTATGAGTGTCAATTACCAAATGCTGCTCAAATTCAATTTACTTGTGATCATTAAGAATTTTCCTCAATTACAGAGAGAGAGAGAGAGAATGGGGTTTAACGTCTACTCGACACAAACTAGGTCATTTCGGGACTAACATATGGTTCAATTTTAATTCAATAATTCGCTTGCGCGTAGGGGTCGTTAGCAGTGGGAGGAAACCGGAGGACCCTGAGAAAACCCACACGGTTGGACAGGCGACCCTACTCCTTGTCACATACAACCGGGGATTTGAAACCTCACCAGTCGACTCAATGACAGACTTTATCTTAAAGCGCGTGCACGCTAACCATTCAGCCATCCAACCCCCCCCCCCCTCAATTACAGGAATTAGGCAAATTGTCTGATTTGTAATTTAACAGCATGAGCGATATTTTGTTTTTTCATCCATGTGTTCTTCACAGTTGACAGTTTATCCTTCACTTGGCACATTGTGACACAAGTCCTCATAAAATGTGCACACTTCAACATAGTGGTACAGCTGTTAGATAAAAGTAACGCAGACTTACCCAAATAGAACAGAACATGTGCCACAAACCAAAATTCCTGATATGAACATAAATTTAGCTCCTATTCTTGTAAGCTGAAGAGAAAATAGAGCATATTGTGATGAGGCAAATGTTTTGAACACCATTTTCTAAGAAACTAAAACAAATATAGAGAAAAACTATGTCTGGTTTTGGGGTTATCATTAAAGAATAAGCAATGAGACAGTTATCTTTATTAGTGCCAGAGATACTTTTTTTCAAAAAAAATGTTTTACAATGGCAAAAACTTTTTTTTTCTTTTTTTTTTAATGTTAGTTTTCCGTTGTTTATTACATTTCCTAACTACATGTACTTTTACCATTTTCAATTCAATAGCTTTAAAATTTAAAAGAACATTTTTCCGGTAGCATCACCCCTTAATATAAGGTTTCAGGTAGCCCTACCACTTAAGGTTTCCGGTAGCCTCACCCCTTAATATAAGGTTTCCGGTAGCCTCACCCCTTAATATAAGGTTTCCATTTACTGGTATACCAGTAATTTGTTTTTAGCATAATAAATATATCAAGTATCTTCTGTCAGCTAGAGTTTTTCTGATGGCCGGTCTATCACAGTCAGAACAAAAACACGACACACGAGTTCATAATTATACAAAATTTTGGAAATGAAATACTCTTGAGAAGTTTCATTTCGACATAGTCTTGGGAGAGTTTATGTGATGGTCAGTCTATCACAGTCAATACAAGAATAAACTATAAGCTGTAACAGATCGTTTCATTGGCTAATGCCTGACATTTTATATAAAAACTCTTCCAGATCCTAGTGTAGTAAAGACAACTATAAAATAACGAAACGACATAGGATCTTTGTTTTATTGAGATAGTTGTTTTGATTTTCTACACTGCATAAGATCCATTGATCAAATGTCCATTCAGAAGGCTGTCATCGGCTGATTTTACAAATACATGTCTTAGTGTGACTGGAAGAGTTGCTCACAATTTAGATACCAGGCCCCAAGTTCACAAAGCATTCTCAGACTTAAGTTAAGAATTTACTCAACTTTCAATCTCTGTTTATGAGAAATATCTTTGATCCAGAAACACAAAATTTTTCACATAGTTTTTTAAATTGATGTATTTGACACATTAAAACAACAAAAGTTTAATAAAGGTCTGTATTTTAGTTAGAATAAGGGGCATCATTTTGAGTTAATTCTTAACAAAGTCTGAGAATGCTTTGTGAACTTGGGACCTAGCTATGAGTCATCTTCTTCTTGTAACAATGATTTAAAATGTAAATACTAACAAAGTATCCAAATATTGGTGCTGTTATAAATATCCAAAATTCAAAACAACTAAATATTAGACCAACAACAGTTGTAGAAACTCCTTTTTTTGCTGCCTGAAACACAAAAAGAAATTGGTAAGCCGAATTAAAACGTAGCTAGTCCTGTAGCTTTTCTATTACGTTTCTTCCCCTTAAAGATACATTATACAAGAGCTAAATATGCCTATTGCTGGTCTTTCTTTAGGTTTGAAATGTTATCTAAATTATTAATTAGACATTAATTAACTTATCCTTAACATAATCAACTCTCGACCCAATTTCCTGCTCAACTTTCATTCATGATTTAATCATGAAATGGATAATCGAGACTATGTTTTTTTTATTGTACTGACTTTAGTAGGGATGATCGAGGCTAGGCCGAAAATTCAATCACTAAAATCTTGGTTCAGAGTGGATTAATTTGACAGAAATTTTCAGCAAATTCCTTTTACATTATCACGTTTTTAACTATTATAGTGAGAACTGCCAGCTCTTTATCTAATCTCCCATAATGTATCTTTAAGCAAACTAGATAGATTTCAGGAGGATCCAATGGCATTTGGTTTCATAACAATGGGGAATAACTTCAGATATTGTAAAATCAATATTCATTTTCCTCATAAACATGCATCATTAACCAGACTTCAGAACTGTGGGGACTGGGTGGCCAAAGCCAAATGGTCTAATGCATAACGCATGCACTTTAGATCATAAGGTCTGTCATGCATCAAGTGGTTTTGATTACCAGCCTGTACATGACAAGGAGTAGGGTTGTCTATCGGAGCTTGTCGGTTTTCTCCATTATTTTTCGGCTGTTAAAGTTCCCTACGCGCTAGTGACTTACTGAAATAAAGTTGAACCATGTTAGTCCCAAAATGACCTAGTTCTTGTTGCATGGCCATTAAACCAGTCCTACTACAGCAGCGCTGCGGCCTACTCTTATATTGAATTCCAAATACCAAGAGATCTTTTACTTGCGCAGCAATGTGTACATGTGACCTTGATTTTCCATCCCATCCAAACGACTATACATTGTCCCTTGCCAGACACTTTGTAATAAATATTTTAAGTGATTTTTATGAATACACAATGCATGGATTTTTCTGACCATGATACATACACTTGGGAAATTTAACATGAAAAAATTGTGAAAAAATTATTGACTCCAAAAAATTCACATTTACTGGGAGCGCAAGACACTTTTTTTTTTGTACTATTATTTCATACTCATTAAAAAGCCCTTCTTCAAAATATTAAGTAAATTGTTATTAATTAAAAGCTCTGATAAATCCCACATGATAAAAGCTAATTTTTCAGTCATACCTACCTACCAGTCCCAGCATAAAGCAAAACTGAGATTAAACACGAAAGGGGGGTTGGATGGCTGAATGGTTAGCATGTGAATGCTGTATCATAAAGCCTGTCATTGAGTCAACTGGCGTGGTTTCGAATCCCCTGTTGTACGTGACAAGAGTAGGGTCGCCTGTCCAACCTCGTGGTTTCCTCCGGTTTCCTCCCACTGCTAAAGACCCCTACGCGCAAGCGAATTATTGAAATAAAAAAAATAAACCGTAAGTTAGTCCCGAAATGACCTAGTTTGTGTCGAGTGGACGTTAAACCCCATTTCTCTATCTCTCTCTTTAAACAAGAATCCTTCTTAAAACATTTAAACTGAGACTCTTGCACTTAAAACTGACTGGGAGTTGGATGGCCTAATGGTTAGCACGTTGTATCATAAGGTCTGTCATTGAGTTAACTGGTGTGGTTTCGAATTATTGAAATAAAATTGAACCATGTTAGTTCCGAAATGACCTACTTGTGTCGAGTGTATGTTAAACCCCATTTCTCTCTCTCTCTCTCTCTCTCTCTCTCTCTCTTAAAACTGACCACAATTTGTAGACTTCCTTACCTCAGCAGGAAAAAATGGAGCCATTTGAGAAAAACATATTTCTGATGAAAAGCCACCCATAAGTAAAACAATCAGTAACATTTTTTTGCGAATTCTTTCTTTTTCTGTTATTTTTTGAGGATCCTCTTCAATGTCCATAACTAACATTGTTCTTTCATTGAAGTTTGCCATCTTTACAGATTGCACTTCTGGACTTTTAAAATAGCATCAAAGCTGTCCTCACTTTGTCAGTTTAACAAAAGGTTTAAGAAGTCTAATATCAGAGATTTAAAGAAATCCAAAAAATCAGTTTTTCAAAATGAATCCACAAAATTAATTTTTCAAAATGAATCCAAAAAAACAATTTTTCAAAATGAAACCAAAAAAACAATTTTTCAAAATTAATCCAAAAAATCAATTTTTAAAATTTAATACAAAACAAAAACAAAACAATATTTAAAACTGAATCCACAAAATCAGTTTTTATAAAATACTACAAAAAACAAAAAAAACAAAACATTTTTTTTAAAAAAAAATATTGATCTACAAAATTATTCCAAAATAATCCCGCTGTCTTTTAAATGTCTCTGTTATAAAGGTTGTTTGTAATAATTAGTCCATGATTTGAAACAGTTTTAAAAAAAATCTGCATAATGTCTTTAACCATTTTTATAAAACAAACAGATTTTCAAAACATAACCAAATCAAAATCCAAATTCCAAAACTACTAGATCAAACTTTCATATTCCAGCCTTTTAACAAAAATGATTGAATCTCTCTGAAAGTTCACACAAATGTTCATTTCCTGAAGTAATGTTCTGCTAGAATTAAAATCTAACATTCAAGACTAGTAGATCCAACTTTCACTCTCAAACTATTTAACAAAAATGATTGAATCTCTCTGAAACTTCACATAAATGTTCTTTCCTGAACTAATGCCTTGCTAGAATTGACCGTGGATGATGCCACAGCGCTATATCATTATAAAATGATAATTTAGTGTCATACATAATGCTATTAAAGGTGATATTTGAAGATGACATTTGAAAATTTGTAATTTAATAGTATCATTTAATTCCCCATCATATATAGATTAAAAGATGATATAATTATATATTTTAGATCCACCACATGGATTAAGGTTAGGTTCAGATTATAATTTTATAATTGTGATCTCTCACTTACTCAACATTTATATCACGATCTCTATCATAACTCTTGCCTACTTTTCCACACCAACAGTAACACGGGAGGGCGGGGGAACGGGGAGAATGGTTAACGTGTCGTGTGCACGTTGCATCATAAGGTCTGTCATGGAGTCAAGTGGCCTGTCCAACCTCTAGGTTTTCTCCAGGTCCTCCAGTTGATAAAGACCCCAGCTCGCAGGCAAATTCTTGAACCATGTTTTAGTCCTGAAATTACCTAGTATGCCTCTGTCTCTCTCTCTAACACACTCCAGTACTTGTAGGTCATTTCCCTGGCTTCAAGTGCTATTTTATCTGAGAGAACTTGCAGTGTAGTACATTACATAACATCTAAGATCAAGCACGAAGAACAACTTTGTTGTCCATAAATATAAACTCAGCTCCTTTGTGGAACTCACATCGTTACTTTAAAAAAATCTACATTTAATCTTTTTTTTTTTCAAACCTATTAGGGCATTAAGTTCAAACAATTTTTATTTTATCTATTTTGCATCATTTTAATACAGATGTAAACCCCAGCGGTCGCTGACGTATATCGAACAATGAGCTAATTAAAGTCTCGATTTTCAGCTGGAATATGATTGGTGTTATTTTCACACTATGACATCAATCCAACAAAATCATAAATTGGTCATTGACCTTACTACCTTAATAACATAACTGCGGCGATATTGTTAGTGGGAGGAGTTAAAAAGGTCATATCTAGCATGTTTTTAAAAATTCATATTTTTTAAAATTGATTTTTAAAATTTATATACCAGTATTTTAAAATTGATTTTTAAAATTTATATATTTTAAAATTGATTTTTAAAATTTATATATTTTAAAATTGATTTTTAAAATTTATATATTTTAAAATTGATTTTTAAAATTTATAAATTTTAAAATTGATTTTATATTTTTTAAAATTGATTTTATATTTTTTAAAATTGATTTTATATTTTTTAAAATTGATTTTTTATTTTCTAAAATTGATTTTATATTTTTTAAATTGATTTTTAAAATTCATATTTTTTAAAATCGGGGAATCGAATTCACGGCAGTTGACTCAATGACAGATCTTATGATGCAACGCTCACATGTTACACAATAGGACAGGTGACTCTACTCTTTGTCAAGTACAAGCTGGGAATCAAAACCACGGCACCTGACTCAATGACAGATCTTATAATGCAACGCTCACACGTTACACCAATCGGCCACCCAAACCGCTAGAAGAAATAAGGAATATAAATCTTACCTCAGCTGGATAAAACGGTGCTAACAATGAAAAACATGTACAAGCACAAAAATTGACCATTCCAATGATCAAGAAAATTACTTTTTTCCGCCTATCAAGAGCTCGAAAAGAGAATTCTTCAGAGTCCGAAGTTTTGGAAGAGTCATTTTCCGAGACATCTACATCTGATATAGATGTGTAGGTATGGGGATTATTGATACTTATTTCATTATCAAGATGGTTAGATTGTGATCCTAGTAGAGGCTGCTTCTCCGTGTCTATGTCCGATGTCTGCATTCTGTTTCAATCTGTCTACAAGTTCGACAAATTTAATTTTCTGTCTGATTGTTTAATATTTCACTCAATGATAAATTCTGTAAAGAGAACAAAATATATAAATGAAATGAAATGAAATAAAATGGGGTTTAACGTCCTACAGTTCTGCTCCGAACTGGGATAATGAAGACAGGCATATGCCATACAGTTTGTTATGGGGGAAATTTTGCCTGGATAGCAGTGCTATAGCCTACTCTTATATCGACTTCCAACTGCCAAGGGATCTTTTACCTGCACGCCAATGTGTACACGGGACCCCTTGTCATGCCCTTCGTCCTGCATCACTGACAAGGGGGAACCACGCCGGAAAATCTGGAGAACTTTCTCGGCAAATGCAGGGATCGAACACCCGACCTCCTGGCTAGCGAGCTATCTTCTTACCCACTTAGCCACCGTAGCCCCCCAAAATATATAAATTAAATCAGGTTTAATTCAGACATACGCAGTCTAGAGGTTGGATTAGAAGTTCAGGTAATGAATAGGCATAGGGGCTTATCCAGCAATTTTTGCGGGAGGGGGTTTGCCATGTTCCTGTTAAAGAAATTTGACAGTTGACAATGCATGATGCTTTCATCATCTCCAAATTAAGTAGGCATACATACACACTGAGCTTTTTAAAGAGAAAAATCCATCACCCTGTCAATTTTTATTTCATTGATGCAAAAGCATTTAAATTGTGATATCACACATATCTATATCATTATCTCATGCTTTGAATGCCCATCCCATCCCACCATCTGGTGATAAAGGATAAAGCACATGACTGTGACACTTTCCTCATAAAAGTGTTGTTTTACAATTTCATTTTTATGTATCTGAGTAGCTGAATAAGAGGCGAGGTGTTGGACCCCTCCGCCCCCCCCCCACCGATCCGCCCCCGATAAGATTTTTTTTTTCAAATGGGGTTTAATAATGTCCTACTGTTCTGCCCCAACTGGGATAATGAAAATGGGCGTATGTGCCATGAGGGAAATTTGGCCCCGTCAGCGGCACTAAGGCCTTCTCTTATATCAAATTCCAACAGCCAGGAGATCTTTTACATGCATGCCAATGTGTACATGGGACCCAAGTTTTCCATTACATCCGAATGACTAGGCAGCTGTCCTCACCAATCCCTCTGTTCTGCACCTCTGACGAGGGGAAACGTGGGAAAATAGGGTTTAACGTCCACTCGACACAAACTAGGTCATTTCGGGACTAACATGGTTTAATTTTATTTCAATAATTCACTTGCGTGTAGGGTTCTTTAGCAGTGGGAGGAAACCGGAGGACCCGGAGAAAATCCACGAGGTTGGACAGGGGACCCTACTCCTTGTCACATACAACCAGGGATTCGAAACCACGCCAGTCGACTCAATGACAGACTGTATGATACAGCGCGCGCACACTAACCATTCAGCCATCCAACCCCCCCAATGGACATGTGTTGTACACAATGTTGTATTGATAATGTAACTTTCTGGTCTGTCTTATCATAAGCTTATAGAATATATTATTCAAAAAGAACTTTTGAAATACAAATTTAAATCTTAAAGATACATTATGTAAGATTTAGATAAAGAACTAGCCATTCTTGCTATAATAGTTCGAAAGTAGATGATGTAAAATGAATGATTTGAAAATTTCATTCAAATTACTCTATTGCAAGCGAAGATATTAGCCTTTGAAGGTTTGACAGACGTGTGCAATAATTTCAACCACCATACTTACTGGTTGATCGAGCTAAGGCTCGGTCCTTCATATTTGATTAAATCAAAGTATCGCTGAACCATTCTAATCTATTTAATATCGGAGAAATCTGATGCCATCGAGAGTTGATTAAGGCCTGGATCAGTTAATTAATGTTTAATTAATACTTCTAAGTTAATACTTTAGAAAACATTGCAGGCCTAAAGAAAGACCTGCAATAGGCAGATTTAGCTCTTGCATAATGCATGTTTAATAAACAGTCAAAATATTTGTTTATTATAAGTCATGTTTGTAGAGGCTAATAGTAAATGCAGTGGGACAGCACCATACACAATAACACAAAACAAATCTATGGACAAGACACAATATGCAGAAATCACAAACAAACGTGCATATCAGATTAAGTGAATGGATCCGGGGAGGCTAGCCGTAAGCGTCCACTGTGCTGTAAAGTCCAGAGTCTGCCGTGATACAGAATTGAATGAAATGAAATGGGGTTTTAACGTCCTACTGTTCTGCTCCTACTGGGCTAATGAAGACGGGCATACGCCATGCAGTGTGCTATGAGGTGTATTGACTACAAAGTTAGGGCACATGTCATATTTACCACAAAAACAGAGGAAAAAAACAATACTGAATACCAAGAATCAAACGAGAGAAAGTGCAACCTGTTCAGCTCCCTGTGTACAGTCATGTTTGTAGAGTCTAACTAGACCACAGTTCATCTCCCTGTGTACAGTCACTTGACATAACTTATAATTTATAATGGCCTACCCCAGTGTATGATGTCTATTATATATATCTTGATAAACCACACTATAGGTTATTGCTATTGATAATGTTTACTCTTTATAGGTGTGTAGTTACTACTGAGTTCATACAGAACTAAGACTGGGACAGTTAGGCCTATATGGTCGAATGGTTAGTATGTGTGCGTTACGTCAATTGGCGTGGTTTCGATTCCCCGGTTGTACAAGGGTTGCTTGTCCAACCATGTGGGTTTTCTCCAGGTCATCTGGTTTCCACCCACTGCTAAAGACCCCTACGCGCAAGCGAATTATTGAAATAAAATAAAACCATATGTTATTCCCAAAATGACCTAGTTGTGGAGTCAAGTGGACGTTAAACCCCACTTCTCTCTCTCTTTAAAATGAAATGAAATGGGGTTTAACGTCCTACTTTTCTGCACTGACTGGGCTAATATAGATAGGTATACACTATACAGTGTGCTATGCGTGGAAATTTTGCCCATGCAGCAGCGCTACGGCCTACTTTTATTTCGAATACCAACTCTTTTCTCTCTCTCTTTAAAATGAAATGAAATGGGGTTTAACGTCCTACTTTTCTGCACTGACTGGGCTAATATAGATAGGTATACACTATACAGTGTGCTATGCGGGGAAATTTTGCCCATGCAGCAGCGCTACGTCCTACTTTTATTTCGAATACCAACTGTCAAGGGTTCTTTTACGTGCATGTCTATGTGTACACAGGATCTCGGTTTTTCATCCCATCTGAATGGATATACTCCCTTGCCAGGCCCGTGCAGGAAAGGTCTGATGAACTTTCTTGGTCAACACTGGAATCGAACACCGGACCTCCAGGTTAGCGAGCCAACATTGTACTCACTGATCCACAACGGCCCCTTATCAAAATGAGTTGAGTTACAAACACCATATCTCTCTTTCTCTTAGGCCTCTAATCATAATCAAAGTTATATAATAATATTATTATTAAAATGCTATGTCACTTTACTCTATAACAGATACAGTTAAAGATACATTATGGGAGATAAGATAAAGAGATGGCAGTTCTCGCTATAATAGTTAAAAACTAGATAGTGTAAAGGTAATTTGCTGAAAATTTCAGTCAAATTGATCCACTGTGAGCCGAGAAAGAAGCGGGTGAAATTTTTGCATAGTCTCGGTCATCATTACTAAAATCATTAATATAAACAGCATAGTCTCGATTATCCACTTTTTCTGATTTAATTATCAACGGCTGTTAGCGGCATATAGGAATCTAATCCAGCCAACATCGAAGGCTAGCCTTGACATCGAGAGTTTATTATGGTCTGGATAAGTTAATTAATGTCTAATTGATAATTTAGATAACATTTCAGGCCTAAAGAAAGACTTGTAATAAGTCTTGCATAATGCATGTTTAAAGATAGATTATGTAAGATTTAGATAAAGAGCTAGCCATTCTTGCTATAATAGTTCGAAAAAAGATCATGTAAAATGAATAATTTGAAAATTTCATTCAAATTATTCTATTGCGAGCGAAGATATTAGCCTTTGAAGGTTTGACGAGATATGTGCAATGATTTCAACCACCGTATTGGTTGTTCGAAGCAAAAGTCTCGCTCCTCCATTTTTGGATTAAATCAAAATATGGCTGAACCATTCTAATCTATTTAATATCGGAGAAAAATTGATGCAATAGAGAGTTGATTATGGCCTGGATAAGTTAATTAATATCTAATTAATAATTTATAAAACATTTCAGGCCTACAGAAAGACCTGCAATAGACAGATTTAGCTCTTGCATAATGTATGTTTAAATAATACTGATAAACTCCAAATATAATACCTCTTTGTTTACAATTAAATGACCCACCAAAATAGGGTCGATCGTTCAGATTATGTAACATTTCTATCTTAATTTGTGATTAAAGTAGCTAAGTCTCTAACTCAATATCATCGAAAATCTTCAACATTGAAAACACGATTTATTTGTCAAATTAAATCAACATTGATGTTGTGATCTTACCGGAAAAAGAAGGGCTTTTGATATCCAATATGTAAGACAAAATAAACATTTTACCATTGGTACACGAATCGTGTACCATAATGCGCTTCAGCCCCAGTTGTATCAAGAGACTCGAGAGACGAGGCTAGACACATTACTCCAAATCAAACGGCATATGTAGACTGGAATAACAAGACGCTAGAAATTTGCACTATTGAGACTGCTGGCTTATCTCGCCGAACATAACTGATTTGAAATTAGAGTAAAAACGGAAACCATTGAATGTAAATCAGTTTATATACATTCATATTACAGTATTATATGCGTTGCGACCCACTTTTGTCAATTTCTAGGTCCCAAATGTTAGCGATTTAGCTCCTTTAAGGTTCTAGAAAATAATGTTCATTTGGGCTGTTTCTGAAATTTCTGTGTTAGAATAGAACGCTGCTGCAGAAAACCACAACCAAGCAGTTTATTCGCAAGAAATTCAAACTTACTTGAATTTATGCTCGGATAATTAAAAAAAAAAAGGAGCCACAGTGACTTTTAAAATATACATTATGCAAGAGCTAAATCTGCCTATTGCAGGTCTTTCTTTAGGCCTGAAATATTATCTAAATTATTAATTAGACATTAATTAACTTATCCAGACCATAATCAACTCTTGGTGTCATCGCTAGTCTGCGATGTTTATTGGATTAGGTTACGATTTGCTAACAACCTCGTTCCATCATATCTCTCTGACCTATTAGAACTGTCCTCTACCCCTATCAATTATACCCTTAGAAACAAAGATAAACTAAAGGAAACCAGATGTAGAACCGAAATTTTCTCAGAGTACTTCATCCCTTCCAGTATACGAGAATGAAACAAACTTAACGATGAAATAAGAAACTCTCGATCCCTTGCTATCTTTGGAAATTCACTAAATAAATTAGACACCATCGTGCCATCATATTACTATACTGGGATACGAAAATTACAAATAATCCACTGTAAACTAAGATTATGCTGCTCGAACCTACAAGGCCATAAATTCCTCAGACACGTCGAAGATAGCCCTGCTTGCCTCTGTGGTCACAAATTCGAAGATACCGAACACTATTTACTCGTATGCCACTTATATTCAGATGCAAGAAAACGGACAATCCATAACCTTCAACATAATCATAAAACAATCAGTTGTCTGTTGTATAGGTCAACAAAACTTAGTCCAGAGATAAACACACTTATTTTCCAAGAAGTCCAACAATTTATTTCCTCATCAAAAAGATTTAAATCTCCATAAACAACTTTTAAGTCATTCCAAGCCCTGCACTCTGTATAATCATCTAAGTCTCTATATTATCCATGATGTATCATATATGCTCTATAATTATGTAATTATGTATGTATGTATGTATGTATGTATGTAAATATTTATAATGTGTACATGTACCTAAATCAGAGAGAGGGGTTACACATAGGCATAGCCTGTTCCCCAATCCAAATTCAGATTTAATGAATAAAAATATTGTTTAAAAAAAAAAAAGACTTGCTGTTCAACTTCCAGTCATGATTTAATCATAAAATGGATAATCGAGACTATGTTTTTATCGTACCAACTTTAGTAATAATGATCGCTAAAATCTTGGTTCATGAGTGGATCAATTTGACTGAAATTTTCAGCAAATTTCCTTTACATTATCTAGTTTTTAACTATTATAGTGAGAACTGCCAGCTCTTTATCTAATCCTATAATGTATCATTATGTTGGGGGTTGGATGGCCGAATAGTTAGCATGTGCACGTACTGTTGTATCACAAGGTCTGTTATTGAAAATCAACTGACGTGGTTTCGATTCCCCGGTTGTACGTGACAAGGAGTAGGGTCGCCTGTCCAACCTTGTGCATTTTCTCAGGGTCCTCCGATTTTCTCCCACTGCTAAAGACCCCTGCTACGTGCAAGCGAGTTATTGAAATAAAATTGAACCCTATGTTAGTCCCTCTCTCCATCCTTATGTTGGTGTGTATGACCTACTACATGAACCCTTGACAGTTGGACTTTGATGAACAGTAGGCAGAAACGCAGCTAGCAGAAAAGTTTGACTTTAAAGTAACAAAGTCTCCTCAATATCATCCAAAGTCTTCAACATTGAAAACACAAATTATTTGTCAATTTAAATCACGATTAATGTTGTAATCTTACCGAGAAAAGAAAGGGCTTCTGATATCCAATATTTAAGACAAAATAAACATTTTACCACTGATATACACACCTTAATGCGTTTCAATACCATTTGTAACAAGGGACTCGAAGAACAAGGCTAGACACATTCCACAAGTCATGTCAAATGGTGACGCTATATTCTTATCTGGAGAAAATACGTTGTAACATGTATTATAATGTATTATAAGGTCCATGGTTGTAATACTATCGGTGTAGATTGAAATAACCAGACACTAGAGATTGCCATTCGATTGAGATTTCTGGCATATTTCAACGAACATAACTGCTTAGAAATTACAGTAAAAACAGAAACGATTAAATGTAAATCATTTACATTCATATTACATTATTATATGCGTTGCAACCCATTTGTGTCAATTTCTAGGTCCCAAATTAGCGATTTAGCTCCTTTACACCCATTTCATTTCAATTTCAAAATTGAAAACACAATTATCTCAATATCGTCTCTATCTGGCATTGCGGTTAATATGTAGCCTGCTACATGGAGTGCCTAGTATTAAAAACCAGGCAGTAGGCCTAGAAATATTATATTGTCATTGACAATAATAGTTATAATATTATATATGAATGATAATATTAGATCTATGGTAATATTGATGAACGAATAAAGTTCGATATTCAGTCAAAAATCTGCAGCTCCCACTTTGCACATAGGCTTAACCATAAAAATGAAATTTTCCATTTAATCACAAAATTTCATTTGTGGTTGTCGTCTGCTAGCTAGGTCAACAACCTGCTGATTACAAGGCTTTCTTAGTTGTGTCCTACTTCTTAACCTTATAATAATAGGCTACCTTTGAAGAGTTCAATAATTTAGCCTTACGTACACCTCGACCATTTTCCTGAAAATTTCTTAAACTTGCACTTACAAAATTGCAACCTACCATAACAGAACAGCTTCATTATGTAACCCACGTGTTCTCAAGCCGGTTCGACATAATTGTGGCCTAATTTATTTGGATCCGTTCAATGAAACGTTAAAGCCAAAGATTGCAACACGGTATGAAAGAATGTCTTAGGTTGTTGGATAACCAAGTCATCCTTGTCTGGTTTTCGATTATCCAGCCATATTGGGACATGCGTATACATACATTATACAGAAGTGGATTGCAACACGCTTCGCAATAACAGGGTCAATTGAAAAAAAAGAAGAAAGACGGTGATAAACTGGCACCCAGTTTTGATAATAATTATTTAGTTTTAATTTTAGATTTTCTTACATTTTATTTCGAAATCGCTTAACAGTTAGGATAGGCTAAATGTTACTTATTGTTTATCATAGAACAAAATCTAAAAGAATAGAAAATAAAACGATGCCTAGACTTCCGAAATCTAAGCCCAAAACACTTTTTCATTTAACCCTAAGCATGCGGCGCACAAGGCACACATAAAATTAGGGGCTTTCGCGATTTACCCACAACCACCCAAATCCACCATTATTTCAACTTTAAAGACAATTGAATATTGATATTTGATAATATACCGTTCTTTATGCCAAATTGTCATTTATAATTTACAATCATAACTTTTTTGTGCCAATTATGCCCCACAAAATGTGATTTCCAAGCAAGTTTGGAAGTTATAACCAAATCCAAAATTATTATAACTTATATATCACAATAATTTATATTGATATAACCTTTTGTCACTGCCCGGGCAATAAATAAATAAATATAATACCACTTCGAGACTTCGCCCTATCAACAAAATCTCAGTAATCTTAAAATGTCTATATTGACAAGGTATTATATAATATCTCGGTTTGCCCGAACAGCGGCGGTACCGTCTACTCTTCTTCCACTGCCAAGAGTTGTTTTACGCACACGCCAATGTGCACGTGCATGAGACCTCAGTTGTTTGTCCCATCCGAGCGACTAGATACAGTTCCTTGCCAGACCCTCAGACCCCCCCCCCTCCCGAAAACATTGGGGACGGGCGCTAATGGAGAAAGTCGCCCCCCCCCCCCCCCAATGGCGCATTGTACGCGCCAATACGAAGCCAATGACCAACATGCCCATAAGGTGAGTGACATTGGTTGGGCGCCCACGACGAGATTGGCGGTGCGCCAAACCAATGTCACTTGATTTTATGAGCACCTCTCCAATCATGTCGTTATATATGAAGCGCCCCTCAAATGGTGAGGCGCCTCATAATGACTCACACTCCAAAAATTCTATAGGTTGTTAATAAGAAGAAAAAAGTTCAAAATTGCGATGTCTACCCAACGATTAAACATGCATTATGCAAGAGCTAAATCTGATTATTGCAAGTCTTAATTTAGGCTTCAGATCTTATAGAAATTATAAATTAGATCTTTATTTAAACAACAAGACCAAAATCAACTCTGTAGACCCACGGATGGCTCGGCTACAGCTCGGATTTAAATAGGATTTCACTAATTGATTAAATCAGATAAGGGGTGACCTGATGAAAATACGTCTGTTAGATCGAGGCTAAATGATAGAGTGTACTTAGCGAGGCCGCTGTAAAGCGTTTCCGTATGCCATTGAAAACTTTACTTGATAATCGAGATATGTAGGTGAAGTTAACGCCTGTCAATCAAACGATCAGCGAAGGTGAACACACAATTCGCTACCATTTCTAGGCAAATATTACAACGATGATAACTATGTTCAGAATAAAGTAATTTGACTGAATTTTTCAATATATTCTTCTTTCATCATCTACTTTTGAACTGTTATAGCAAGAATGGCCAACTCTCTATAAAAAATCTCCCATAATGTATCTTTAAGTACTCATCAGCTTGCCATTGAAATGGATAGACAGGCCCGTAACAAGGGGCGGGGGGAGGGTCGCAGGAAAATATTTCGCCCCCCACCCCCCACACCTGTGAAAAAATTGCCGACCATAAAAACAATAGATATACATTGTCCGTCAATTTTACAGCACCCCCCGAGAGCACTTCCCGCCCCCTCGTTGCTATGAGCTAATTACGACCCCGTGGGTAGATGATACCACCCCAGGATCGCCTCTGTAAAAAAATGCAATATAAACAAAACTGAATCCGAAAATTTTCTTATGGAATGCCAAAAATATGAAGATTTAAGAAAACAATATGGAATCCTTGACAACACTGGTCTAACCTTTTCATTTGAAAATCTCTTCAACCCACCGAATATAATAGCCTGCCTTTTTGCGGAGGGATAACTGATATGTTGAAAATGCATGATATTTTTATGTGTGCACGTTTTGTTTTGTATTTTCATATATTATGTACCCTGTATGCAGGTTTTATACTGTCTAAATAAATGTGAGTTCTCTGAATTTATGCCCGTCCATATTTCTTGTGCTTGTATTCAGTGCCGGACTGCATGCATGGGCCTAAGCTCATTAAAAAAAAAGTGGGCCTAAGCCTATAAAGAAAAAAGAAAAAAAAAGAAAAAGAAAAAAAGGAAAAGAGAAAGAAGGGGGGGGGGAGAAAGAAGGAAGGAGAGGACAGGACACAGGACAGGAGAAAGAAAATATGGGATAAAAATGACTGACAAACAATACAAAAAAAGGAAAGAACTTTATGAGTTTGACCTCATTATACCGAGAACCGTGTAATTCATCTTTTGTTTTTGACACTGAAGAGAATTCTCAAATTCATCTATTGATAGTGCTCTTAGGTCATTCAGTTATCTAATTGTATCAGGAAATCAAAAATTTGCCTTGTTCTGCTTTGGTCTGAAATGCTTGGAAAATGGGTTTGCGGTTGTCAGTTTTCCCTGAGACGCTCGTGCGCCTTCGGGGTGTACTTGTGTGGGCCTTGGTCAATGACCTGACAGGTGGGCCTTCGGCTCACCAGTCCGGCACTGCTTGTATTTAATACTTTATATTGTATATATATAATAGTAAGTGCAGGGGGGGGGGGGGGTGACCGCACTACACACAAAACAAAAATCTACGAGATAAACCTGCGAACAAGACAGAAAATAGACATTGCACCAAATAAACAAATATCAAATCAAGTGAATGGATCCGGGGGCCATCCGTAAGCGTCCACTGCGCTGTACAGGCCCGGGCCTGTTATTGTACAGGCTTCACTAAAAATGACAAAAAAAAAATGATTTACAAAAAAAAGAGACGTAACAGAAATAATGCGACCAATCTTGACAGTGGTGGTCTCTTCAATGCCGGTTAACGTCATGAGAAAGATAACCTGTTTATTGCATCAAAACGTCCATTATGGACAGCATGCATACATATGATGTCCGCAAAGGACGTTTCGATGCAATAAAATTCTATTCCATTTGAACTCATTCCTGGATATATTTTCTAGTGCTGGCATTATATATTGTTGAATCGATGTATCGTGATTGATCATCTTACGATTTGTTTATATTGAACCGCTAGACGTTGAATGGATGCATCGCGATTCTTCAGTAAGTAGTAAAGCTGGCACTTATAAGTATCCACGTCACACATTATCCACAAACACTCTTAAATTGTTTTGATCCCTATTTTGATCCATGTCAATATCGTGATTTAAAACAGTTTTATTTCTTCGACGCATTGGCCGAGAAAGTTCATTCAGATTTTCCGGCGTGGTTTCCCCCTTGTCTGTGATGCAGGATGGAGGGCCTGACAATGACAGCTGTCTAGTCGTTCGGATGGGACGGAAAACCGAGGTCCCGTGTACACATTGGCGTGCATGTAAAAGATCCCTTGGCAGTTGGAATTCGATATAAGAGTAGGCCGTAGCGCCGCTGCCCGGGCAAAATTTCCCTCATAGCACACTGTATGGCGTATGCCCATCTTCATTAGCCCAGGTTAGGAGCAGAACAGTAGGACGTTAAACCCCATTTCATTTCATTTCATTTATTTCTTCGACATCCTGTTGTTTTGGTATATATTGACCTGGGGCCAGTTGCTCAAAACTAAGTTATTTCAACGACCCATTAAACTCTTATAACGGATCGTTATCTTGCTAACGTGTCGTTTGTTAACGGTCCGTTAAATTTCTGTTGCTGGAAAGTCAGTTTCATTATCCGTTAGCTAGAGTACTGATTAAAGTTAATCCATGAAAAGAGTGTTCATTAGCTGAATTTTAAATGTTTTAATTCAATGTACATGTATAAAAGCTTCAAAGAAGTTAGTATTAACAAGAAACTTAAGACAGTGGGACAACTGTGCAATCTGTTCACAAAACTTGATTAAAGACAAAAACATAACTATAGAATTTGCTACAGAAAACACCATAAAAATAAACAAAATGTAGAATACTCTATTTTTTCTTTTAGAAATTTTAGCTTATTAAATCTGTAGGAAAATTTATGGGATTTGCATTGCAGAAACTCTAGAATATTTGGGGCCATTATTTTCTACAGGCCTCCAAAATTAGGTAGAATACAATAGAATTTCATCCTATAGAAAATGGAATAGCCCCCCCCCCCCCGCCCATGGCCCAACCCTATAGAATGTTCTATAGAAAATTACACTGGTAATTAATGACTTTTTGCTAAGGGTATACTTCGACTGATAGCCCACTAACACCTCCAGTTAAATGTAATGGCAATAGGCTTCAACTATCAATAATATTTTTGACTGAACACTTTCCAGGTCGGATGTTTGCCGACACCTTCATGGTTTAAGGCCCTACTTTTCTGCAAGACTAGGCTAATGAAGACGGGCATTGCCATTGATGACAAACAACCAAATATTAACAATCTTCAGATTATGACAAACACAATACATAAAATTCAATATGATTTTTTATTAACAAATACATTTCCATTTTTCATAAAAAAAAAAAATATTAATATACAACAATAACTGGAATAGATTTTACAAAATGATTTATAAATTCTCAATAGATGTAAGTAAAAAAAATGTAGATAAAAAATAATTACTTATGTATACTGTAACAACTATCATAATATAATAACAAAATTGAATTTCGCAATCACACAATTAGCACATGCAAGTTTGAAATCAGTTAAAAATGAAGTTGATTAGAATTATGCTGATCCCCGGGGTGGAGTGAATGGTCTAATGTGTGCGCTCTAGATCATAAGGTCTGCCATTGAG